ATGACCGGACATCACTCTACATATTTAGCCAACCAGGACTGGATATCACTTTATAACATGAGACAACCATGACCGTACATTAAATCATGAGACAACCATACCGGACATCACTCTACATCTTTAGCCAACCAGGACTGGATATCACTTTACATTAAGTCAACCATGACCGGACATCACTCTACATCTTTAGCCAACCAGGACTGGATATCACTTTACAACATGAGTCAACCATGACCGGACATCACTCCAATTATAGCCAACCAAGGGGATATCACTTTACATCATGAGACAACCATGGCCGGACATCACTTTACAACATGAGACAACCATGACCGTACATTAAATCATGAGACAACCATGACCGGACATCACTCTACATCTTTAGCCAACCAGGACTGGATATCACTTTATAACATGAGTCAACCATGACCGGACATCACTCTACATCTTTAGCCAACCAGGACTGCATATCACTCTACATCATGAGTCAACCATGACCGGACATCACTCTACATCTTTAGCCAACCAGGACTGGATATCACTTTACAACATGAGTCAACCATGACCGGACATCACTCTACATCTTTAGCCAACCATGACTGGATATCACTTTACATCATGAGACAACCATGACCGGACATCACTCTACATCTTTAGCCAACCATGACTGGATATCACTTTACATCATGAGACAACCATGACCGGACATCACTCTACATCTTTAGCCAACCAGGACTGGATATCACTTTACATCATGAGACAACCATGACCGGACATCACTCTACATCATGAGTCAGCTATAACTGGACATCACTCTACATCATGAGTCAACTATAACTGGACATCACTCTACAAATAAATCCATCACAACAGTACATCACTATATACTGAACCAATCACAACCATACATCTCCTTACACTGAACCTATCATAATTCACTTATATTCATCCATTACAACATTTTGTAACCGATTATTTAAAAAAAAACCCATCACAATTAACCAATTCCAAGTTTACATCACTGTTCAATAAACCCAACACCATACATCACGCTTAACCTATCAATCCAAACATCAACATTAAATACTGTCTGAATCAGATTACAAATCACTAATGAACAAAGTGTTTATTTGTTGATTGAATATGAAATGATTATAACAAACAACCACACAGTTTTTACTTTGTTGTTAGTCAACTGCATCATACATTGTAATTCTAAAATTGGTTTATTTTTCTACTGAAGTAAATAACTAAACCATAATAAGAAACATATAAAATATTTTTAAGCATTATTTTGTTTTTATTTCTTAAACATTTTTACATTTTCAAATCCAATTATGAAAACAAAAGTAGAATCAAATATTCTTTGATGCAGAAAAGAATTTATGAAGTGTATTACAGCAGCTTTCTTTCCAAACCAGGAAACAGTACAATGATAATACTAATTGTCAATTCAAGCACCTTTACATGTACAACATAAAATTAGGTTTAAACAATGTTGTTTTTGTTAGTGTTACTTACTAGTACATTTTCACTGACAGTACAATAAACATAACATAACATCACAAAACTTGATAACTTATATGAAAGCAAATAAAATAAATAAAATGAATGGGCGGAATAGTTTTAAATGATAGCAAAGGATATATACACTACGGGCAATTTGCCCTGCTAACACATTATAGTATTAAAGACCATTTTAATCTTCAATAAAAGTAAAACCAATGCTATCTCATTTTGAGTAAGATATGTGTTTACTCCTTTGCTTTATTGGAGGGTAGATATGGTATCTTCATCAGAAATATATTACACATTCATACTTGTGAAAACGTAAGTTGCACTGTTACTTAGAGGATTACTTAAATACAACACTCTTATTCCTTTTCAAACTAAAAATCTTTGTAAATTAAGTAAATTGATACATGTAACTTACAGGAATATTGCTGATAATCATTCAGTACACTGCACTGGAAAGACCTAATGATATCTTACAGGAATATTGTGGACTCTGTCTTAGAACAGCATATCCCTCAACACACAGTACTGAAGGACTTAATGGTACCTTATAGCAATATTGTGGACACTGCCTTAGAACAGCATATCCCTCAGCACACAATACTGAAGGACTTTATGGTTACAGGAATTTTGTGGACACTGCCTTAGAACAGCATATCCCTCAGCACACAATACTGAAGGACTTTATGGTTACAGGAATATTGTGGACACTGCCTTAGAACAGCATATCCCTCAGCACACAATACTGAAGGACTTTATGGTTACAGGAATATTGTGGACACTGCCTTAGAACAGCATATCCCTCAGCACACAATACTGAAGGACTTTATGGTTACAGGAATATTGTGGACACTGCCTTAGAACAGCATATCCCTCAGCACACAGTACTGAAGGACTTTATGGTACCTTACAGGAATATTGTGGACACTGCCTTAGAACAGCATACCCCTCAGCACACAGTACTGAAGGACTTAATGGTTACAGGAATATTGTGGACACTGCCTTAAAACAGCATACCCCTCAGCACACAGTACTGAAGGACTTAATGGTACCTTACAGGAATATTGTGGACACTGCCTTAGAACAGCATATCCCTCAGCACACAGTACTGAAGGACTTAATGGTACCTTACAGGAATATTGTGGACTCTACCTCAGAACAATGTATTGAATTATGTAATATCTTACAGGAATATTGCTGCTTATCCTTGAAGTAGACTGTACTGAAGGACCTCCTGATATTGTATAGGAAGATTATGAATTGTCCCTCAGAACACTGTACTGATGAACGTAACAAAATCTTACAAAAATGTTGTAGTTTTCCATCAGAATACTGTACTGAAAGAGATCATGATATCATACAGGTGGGACAACAACAACATCATTTCCTTACAAAAATTACCAGGCAGTGCTACTAGTCAATTAAAAACTGTTTTTATGATGGGGAAATTAAGCTAACAGAAAAGTCTGTTTCTAGAAGGATCATGATAGTATAGGTTTACAGCCCATCAACACAGTGGGTCACCACAGGCCATTACAGAAATATAGTGATGTTTATACTGACAAATTGACAGAGGATATATGTCAAGTTTTCAAGAAAGTTGGTAGGTAATAAAGGAAAAAATATTCACTAGTCCATATTTAAAACATCTTATACATAACAAGATAATGATTTGATTAGTCTTCTCAAGATATTGGAGGTCTGGAGATTCAATTAAAAAATATTTATAAAAATAAATCTTAAGGTTACATTAAGCTTTTTTGAAAAAGTATTGTCATGCTCAAATAAAAAACAATCCTCGTATCACTAGTCACTCTGATTGTATACATGTTAATATCTTTTAAAAAAAAAAGTATAATTTTACGGTATTTATCCCTTTTCTTTAAATGGTTTTGATGCTGAAATGTTCATTCAATATTCAATTATTCTTTTAATATCTCAACAAAAACATGCATTATACATGAGTGTGCTTTAGGCTGTTTCAGTAAAACATCTATTTGACACTAGGAGTCCAGATATAAATTACTTCTACCCTTACTTTGGTCCCCTACTTCAAATTCTAAGCAAATAATCAAATAAATTCTTTGGTTGGTATGTTTAAACTAAATCTGAAGTCCTGGAGTGGTAAAGGCATTTAACTAGAATAGCCCTTAACTGATATGCACATATGTACAGCGAAAAAAAAAAAAGTCCAATTGCAGTTTTTGTGATAAATGATTTTTACCATATATCTAGTTTTACGTGAAAGTATATGTCTTATCACTACAAAAGTTACAGATTTTGATTTGAAATGAAAATAAAACTATCCTTTTGTCATTCATACATTGCTGAGCTGCCATTAGTATTAAATTGTAAAGAAGAGTCCATCTGTGAAATGTAATGCCTCACTGGTTAGTTGATCAACAGAACAACATGGACAGATAGTCCAAATGAGGTTAAGAAACTTTCTTTCTCTAGGTGAGATATAATAAGATAAATTATTACTGTAGAAGTGTTTTACAAGACAAGGATGAAGAAATTTCTAAATCAGACGAAAGCTTTCTGGCTCATCTTCATTAAAATATACGCATTATCTTATTACAAACAAAAGGAAGATTACTGAGTGAAACTTTCACAGATGATTCAACAAAGTAATATAACTAAATTTGTCTGCATTCATAGGTTTAGTATCATATATTATATAATATATAAACATGATCAAGAGATTTACAAGAAAATTATTCATTACTCGTTCAAACAAATGAAATAACACAACTCTGATCTGTCTCAATGCCAAATCATTGCACTATTTATAATGTACAAGGTTATATAAGGGACTAAAACAGTACAAACTCACAGCCAAATGACAGCAAAAAATCTATATGCACATTTAAGTGAAGATTACAAGTAAAAAAAGGGTATCTGAAATTTATCAACATGTGTTTTTTGCTCACAAAAAAACACACCATACGTGTAAGATAAAGTAAAAAATACTTTATTTCAAACTTGATTGTGAAAGGAAATTTTAGAAAAAAACCAAAAAAAAAACCAACCTTTTTTGATGAATTGGATATCAGGTAAAGGGGACTTGTCAAGTCTGTAATATAATTGCAAGCTTAATTATTGGTCCATTTTCTGTGATAAATCCAAGTCTTAAAAAAGACAATGAAATTGACCTCTTGTAAATAAAATTCAGTAATCTTTGCAGTAGTTTTGTTTTGTAATATGAGAAAAAATTAACATACATTGTGTACCAGAGTTTATTGTTATAAATTGCATTTAAATGGCATATAAATGAGAATTCTGAGAGTTTGTATACAATACTTCTTATCTCATAAAGCAACGTCCATCTTAAATTGTATGTTTCTTGGGCCATTTTTTGTCATAAGTTTCATCATAATACAGTAATACCCTTGACATATCAAACCTGATAAAAACATATCATTATTCCAAGACTTTATAAAAACAATAAATATTTATTACTACCAGTAATTTGTACTGAAAAAATGTAAACAAAGAGGTCTTTGTAAAAAATGTTGATATTCTTGCCACATTATTCTGTGCAGGCAACTACACAACCGGCCTAGCTTATCACAATACTTAAATCCTGACCCACCAGTCAAGGTCTAGCTACTGGTGTTAAAATCAGGCAGAAGAGCTGATCAAAGTGGAGATAACTGTGCTATATGATCGTGCAACCAGCAACACTACATGACCATATGACCATACTCCAGGGGTAACAATCACTTTCTCTTTCTACACCCCTTCAACACGTCAAACTGAAGGCAAAAGTGAAGTGATTGTATTGGTTCCAAGAGAAAAAATTACTAATTATCACAGGCTACTACACTCCTTTTTGAAGATTACAAAGGAGCAACACCCAACTACAAAGCCATTACTATATACAGTTAGGCATCTTTGGGATTTGTGTGATGTCCATCAAAGGATCAAACTAGTCTCTTTGTCTTGTCTACAAGGTGTCACACATGTAACCTTTAATTTTGCCATGACACATTCCAGGGGTACAGAGAGTGAAAGTGAGTGAAACCCCTTGGATAACAAGTATGTTACCAAATATGCCGATAGTTCTCGGACACCAATTCCATATTGGACTGGCCAAATATGCCGATAGTTCTTGGACACCAGTTACATATTGGACTGCTCAAATGTGCTGATAATACTTGGAAACCAGTTCCATATTGGACTGGCCAAATATGCCGATAGTTCTTGGACACCTCTCCATATTGGACCGGTCAAATGTGCTGATAATACTTGGACACTTCTCCATATTGGACCAGCTAAATGTGATGTTAAAACTTAGACTCCTGTTACATGGACTGACCGATGAGCTCAGCTGTTAGACTACAACATATCAAAGTGTCCTTCACAGCTCTGCGTTGTAAACATTTAATTATCTTTCATTTACATCAGCTTGTACTATATCATCAGCACATACTTATAACCGTAAAAGGTTCTTGCAGTCAAATATCCAGATATACAGTAAACCAACATTCATTCATGTGCAATTAACTTTTGCAAGTTTCATTATCAAAACAAATTAGAAAATGGAAATTGCAGCACATCAAAATGATAAAAAATTCATAGCTACTTTGTATTAAAATGTGCAATGACTATTTACCACAGACGTAGTCGATTCTGATCCCATTTTAATCATAAATTACAAATGACTCACCTGACAGTGGTAATAAACACATATTTCCTTAATCATTCTCTAAACCTTCAGATGATACCCTCTATAACATTGATTGTCTATATGTAAGTTATATTAATCCCCATTCCTAAAGGAACACTTACACAAAGAATTATATATAAAAATAAACTGCAAAAGTTTACAGGTGAATGCCTAAAGCACATTTTAAAAAGGCTAGAAATTTGCAGTGTGAGTATAGTTTCATTGAAGATATAACAACTACAAGTTGCAATGCAGATATTGCAAAAGTCAGAAGCAGAGAAAGAAGGTTGGTTCACCATGTTTACAAATCACAATATCACGAAATTTTTATCAGGTGACAAGGTTGTTAAATAGTCTCGACAGTAATTAACATTTGGAATTGTTCAGCGTTTAGCTACGTCGTCCTGTATATTGGCCACAACACAGCCAAATGTACTCATCACCGTGGGAAGTTCTTGTCCCTCAACCCACATCTGTTTATCTTGGTCTTCCTTCAGCCAGCAGAGACCAGCCATCCAACTCTTATCATCCTCTCCACCCACAATCAGAATAGTGTTACCATACTTCACAATTCCTGGCAAAAAATCAAAATGTTACAAAATGTAGATGTTTTACAAATCTCTTCCTTGTAACTTTACATGACAATCCATCATTAATAAAACAGATCAGTAACTGTTCTATGATTTCTTAACAAAGATTTGCTTTTAAAGGTTTACAGATTTCACAGTTACCTTTAGTTTACATATTTACAAAAGTTTACTGGTTAAACATAACTTACCAGTTCCACACCTGATTGTAAAAAGGGTAACCTGTTAACAACTTTTCTGCATCACTCTTACTTTAAACAAGATGTTACTTTATCAATTGATCAGTAAGGTCACCTAACAGCAATATCAATGATAATTACAATTGCAATGTTCTGTACTAAGCCCCTTTCCCCACTGACTTGGTGTAAGATATAGTGTTGACCTTCTACGGTCCTGTAATAAGCCCATTACTAATTTTGAGTTAGAAGTAATGTGTTGACCTTCTAGGGTTCTGTAATAAGCCCACTACTGACTTTGTGTAACAAGTCATGTGTTGACCATCTAGGGTCCTGTAATAAGCCCACTACTGACTTTGTGTAACAAGTCATGTGTTGACCATCTAGGGTCCTTTAATAAGCCCACTACTGACTTTGTGTAACAAGTCATGTGTTGACCATCTAGGGTCTTTTAATAAGCCCACTACTGATTTTGTGTTAGAAGTGATGAGTTATCCATCTAAGGTCCTGTAATGACCCCAGTACTGATCTTGTGTTAGCAATAACATGTTGACCATCTAGGGTCCAGTAATAAGCCCATTTCCTGACTTTGTGTAATGTTGATCCCCTGGGTTTATTGCAGGATAAACATAGTACTTGTTATGAATAAAACCATACCTGCACCACACATAGCATTAGGAAGCTCTGGTCCCAGGGACCATGTGTTTGTGTCAGGGTCAAACACCTCAACAGAACTAACACAATGCTCTGGTAAAAACTCCTTTTTCCACTTGTCACTGAGAGCTGAGTTACCACCTGTAGACAAAAGTGATGGTTAAAAAAACTAGTTATAACATTAAAGAATATTTAAAAACATGAACAAAAATAAAACGGAATATCTATAGTAGTACAGCCTTAACTCAGTATTACTTCAGCAGCATGTCTGTCTGTAAAGCTTCCACATCAAATTAATTGTACTGTACATGCCATTAATTAAATATACTTGATAAAAACCAACTTAAGTAGATGTTTAAAGCTTATCATAATTTCTTTGCTAAGTTAACTATCAACATATATCATCTGACAACAGAAATATTTTGATAATGTATGGCCATTTTCTTGTAAAACATAATTAACTATCTAGCATCAGTAATGAAATATTTACATATGCAAGACACACAATTTTAATTATATCCTATTCAGTAGAAATGTAATTTATTGTACTATAAATGACATTCGACTCATCATTTCATCATCTTCATTGTTATTCTACAAATTATGCTTTTGTCAGTTGTTTTAGATGACAGAATTTTACAAGCAAACATATTGCTCTGATGCACAATATGATGCTTGGCTGCAGATCTGTCATTTATAAAGGACATAAATGCCATAACCAGTTACCTCAACACTTTATTAAACAAACTCTATCAATTATCATTATAAGATAGTGGTTTTTACCTATAACATAGATTTTGTCCTTGTGAATAACGCTGCCTGCAAGCACTCGAGGCGTGGACATGGGTGGTAACTCTAACCAGCTGTCCTCTGTTGGATCATACCTGGCAGAATTTGATATACACAGATATGTATTATATGTACATTGCTGAGTGCCATTCAAAACATTGTAAATACAAAACAACAACAATTGATCAATTAAATTCAAGTTATGTTTCTAATACAACTGAAGGGCTTTAAATTTATATATATATATATAAAAATGCACCTAAGATATTGTTAAATCATACATAAAACAAACCAATACAAAAAGGGTATTTCGTTACTTAGGTTAAATGTTTTGTGTTAGCCCCAAGGTTTATTACAAGATAAATTTGATAAGTAGATAAAAATATAGAACTCTGTTATGGCTTACTTGAAGGCAGAGCTACTGATGCTGTTGGTTGTCTCCCCTCCAAAAACATACAATTTTCCCTTGTATGAGATAGAAGTCATGAACCTCAGCGCCTTGTTGAGTGGGTTGATGAGTGTCCAGGCATTGGTGTGAGGATCATACCGCTCAACAGTGGTCAGTATTTCTGACCCATCCTGTCCACCTATGGCATAGGCATACCTAAACAAAGGATTGTGCAGTGTTAATATTGACAGACATTTTTGTTTACAGATGATAAATCTGACTTAAAATTAATGTCTTAAAACCAAAACCTGCAACATACTTAACATGCTGGGTTTTCAAGGTAATCTTAAATTTCACAACCAGGTAAATTTATGAAATTAACATTGTCATCATCAATTACAGTACAATCTGGAATCTAGATTGTTGGAATTAACATAGCAACAAAAGTATTTTTTTCTTACAAGGATTGAACGGAAAATTCTTCTTCAGAGTTTAAAATCTGTCGTAAAATATTTAATTGCTCAACTGAATTACACATAAAAAATAAAATCTTGGGTAAAAATATATTTCATAAAATATTTAGGGATTTTTTTATACTATTATTATGATTTCTAATTAACTTCATACTACTGCACCTGATACATTCATGTTTAATTAATGCATGCATTAAAATAGCTGTAATACCATGAACAGATTATGTTATATATAAAGCCTTCTCATACTATTGCAAGTGTGCTGCAACCAATTCATTACAATTAATGAATTCTGAACTATCAAACATCAACTTGGTTTGCCCTGTACATTGTACTAACCCATCCACAATTTTTGTACATTGTACTAACCCATCCACAATTTTTGTACATTGTACAAGCCCATCCACAATTATTGTACATTGTACTAACCGATCCACAATTATTGTACATTGTACTCACCCATCCACAATTATTATACATTGTACTAACCCGTCCACAATTATTGTACATTGTACTAACCCATCCACAATTATTGTACATTGTACGTACCCATCCACAATCATTGTACACTGTACTAACCCATCCACAATCATTGTACATTGTACGTACCCATCCACAATCATTGTACATTGTACGTACCCGTCCACAATTATTGTACATTGTACTAACCTATCCACAATTATTGTACATTGTACTAACCCATCCACAATTTGTGTACATTGTACAAGCCCATCCACAATTATTGTACATTGTACTAACCCATCCACAATTATTGTACATTGTACTAACCCATCCACAATTATTGTACATTGTACTAACCCATCCACAATTATTGTACATTGTACTAACCCATCCACAATCATTGTACATTGTACTAACCCGTCCACAATTATTGTACATTGTACTAACCCATCCACAATCATTGTACATTGTACTAACCCGTCCACAATTTTTGTACATTGTACTAACCCATCCACAATTATTGTACATTGTACGTACCCATCCACAATTATTGTACATTGTACTAACCCATCCACAGTTTTTGTACATTGTACAAGCCCATCCACAATTATTGTACATTGTACTAACCCATCCACAATTTTGTACATTGTACGTACCCATCCACAATTATTGTACATTGTACTAACCCGTCCACAATTATTGTACATTGTACGTACCCGTCCACAATAGTAAGTCCAAACTGTGATCGTGACATATGCATTTTAGCCTTGGTTTGCCATGACCGATCGACCTGGTCATAGATATAGAAATTGTTTGATACTCCCTCAGTGGTAATGGACCCTCTGTAATTGATCTTACGGATTGCCCCTCCAGCCAAGTATATCTGATTGTCTCCTGTGATGGCACAACCTGGAAACAGATAAACAGCCAGGATCATTCACAAAAGTAAAAAAAAATCCAATACAAACATTATATCAGAGGATATGTGTATTGTATACATCTGGGATATTGGTAACCATGTGATATTTCATTCATTTGAAATGAAAAAAATTTGAAACAGCTTATCTTTTTTAAATACATTTATATTTTTTAAGTACCGTGCAGTTTCTGTAGCTAAAATCAGCTGATAAATGTTACCTTGAAGAGAATCTGTTTTTTTGCAGAGCAGAGTTATCTACTCTTGTGAGCAGGTACTGAATGCCATGTCATCAGTTAGGGTGAGAAAACATGTTGTTTCCTAATTGATGACAATAATCTCACAGTCAATACCTGCTAACAAGAGCAGAGAACTTTGCATTACAAAATAATATGATTTCTTGTTCCTGGGTCAACATATGATGACACTATTGATGAATGGTCAATACACAGCAGAATACCTGGAGTATATAGACTCTGAGGTAGTTTACAGATGTGGATCACTTCTCCAAGTTTAGGTAGTAACATTTCCATACTGTTGTACTTTTTCAACTGATCCTCTGTGTAAGGATTGGCAATGATCATGACTCCTCGTTCATACATCATGCCTTTACGCGGCATCAGGTTTAAATCCATCTCCTGTTGTCTGTTCCGCAGCATGTGGTAGTACCTGACGGTCTCTAGAGTCTTTCTCAGAGATGCACATTCCCGAAGTATAGGACTATTATCAATTCTGTCACAGAAATAATAGGAACTTATATTGGCGAATCTTACACAGTCCATGATAGCTGTCAAATGTTGCTGTCGTCCAACTGTGTCTGTATTTAGCCAATCCATACAGGCCTCAAACACAGTTTCTTCAGCTGTCACATTGATGTCATCATCACTGATAATCTCCACAAGTTTGTCAGCAGGAAGACTGAGGAATTCTTGTTGACGACATAGATTATTGAACTGGTTATTGATTATTTCTTTGGCCTTATTCGCTAGAACCTGACACTCATGGGCCTTTGCAAAGAAATAAACACCAATGCAGTTGCTAACTGTGATGTGATTCATCATGAACTCAGCACATCCACTCCTGAGACTGAGGAGTTGGAAACGATTACTAGCAGAGAGAAGGTGCTGTACTGTGTCTTCAGACAGCATCACAGAACCTGTGTATACATAGTCCAGCACTAATTCCATCGTGAGTGCCTCCAGTTCCTTCAGAGTGACCTTATCCTGTTGACTCTCTGCCATATCAGTCGAGAACATGGCCATAAAGAATGGACTGGATACAGCGAGTACATTCTTGTGACAAGGAAACTCACGCCCATCTACAATCAAAGTAACGTCCACGAACTCCTTGTTTTTATACAGACGAGAGAAACCCTTAAGTAGGTTACTAGGACGCTCTTGATCCATGAAACGGTCATCCCCTGGGGTAGGAGTTTCACTGGTCTGGGGCCCTTGAGACTCCAGTAAGCTGTTTGGGCACAGACTAGCTTCCATTGTCAATACAGGACTAAATGGTCCTGTTATAAACTGTCCAGCCAAGCATCACCATGTCTCTATTGTACATAAACAGTACAAGGTATCAACATCTGCAGCAGACAGTAACAATTGATGTGAACCTGAATAAAAATAAGTTTAGATTTAATGAGTCATCAACAAAGAAAAAACAATAAAACAGCAGCTGACATCCCTCTTTGATGTCCAACGTGTATATAAGGAGCAAACATATGTCATTTACCTAATGTTGATAATAATCTTACTCTTTAAAATGTTTAACAATATTCTACATGCTCATCTATACATTCATTATTGGCATTGAGAGGATTTGTATAAGAACTCTAACACATATTGTTGATCTCAACTCTCAAGGATAATAATTTTCAATTTTTTAAATCCATCATGCTGACAACTGATGCATTAATTTCAGTTTTATTAAGGAATTTCACAAAAATGTTACCCAAATGACAGTCTACTGTGTTTTCAGGATGTATAATTTTACCCATTGTAATTTACTGACCAAATCTTCAGCAAAAAATGTTAACTGTAGTATTAATAGGAACCCTGTGATAAAGTTTCTTACGATGTCAACACGAATACAAAAAATAGACCTGTGAATATTAGCAAATGTAGTTTAATATAAGACGAAATGTTATACCATCAGTTTTCAACCAGTGAAACGGGAGCATGCTAGACTGTTTTGTGATTTTAAAAAACCTCACACGTTTAATTTCCTACTTGTGGTGAATAAAAAAACCTCTGAGATGACAGAATGTGTGGAAGTTCTAATGCATCTATTCTCAACATGATGTAAGGATATATAGTCTGTCTCATGAATAAAGAGCAGTTTTGATATCATATACAGCAATAATATAACGTAAACCAGGACTTTTTTTAATCCGCAAAGAATATCCGTATATCATTTAATACACTAAAATGTTCTTGTCCATGTGAGCTAACCTTAAATCACGTATTTAGCCTACGCATATGTAAGATTGTGTCGTCTCTGGGCCATCGAGAGGTCTTGTAAGAATTAATATAATACACTGTCTTTTCTTATTTCGGACAGCAAACCATGTGAATATCGTATGAATATCGCTCATACAACTGGCCGACAGCAGCGCCGAATTAAACTAATAGCGTATTAGTAAATTCTTGCCTTATTTACCAATACGAAATGTATGACAGACCACATGCACCTGTGTCTGGAACGTAAATAACACAAGCAAAAATCCAGTTCACTATATCATCACACAAATACTGTTGTGGACTGCATTTTTGCTTGTGTTGTTAACGTTCCAAACACCGTTGTTTGTGGACATACCTACCATTCAACGACTATCAATTATATATTGATCGTCCCTTTCTTATCCTCACGGTTTCACAACATTACTAGCTACTACTCAAATGCCAGCAAACAACAAAACTTTAGTGAAGCTTTCAACAACAAAACCGGATGTCTACAAGGCCGTAGTTTAGAGTGATGTCCCTTGATTAACTTCTTTTTTGCTGGAGTCAAACGGAGACTTTAGCGGGAATATATTTGAATCAGATCGATAAAATTTGAACTAAACAAGATAGTTGGAAGAACTACTATAAGGTAAAGTAAACGGATCACTCAGTGTTAATTCATGCCTTGAAATGTCAATTCGACTTAGATGAAACACTTTCACAGATAAATAATTAAGATCTACCACACATTTCGATGTTGACTTCTAAGATTGTTTAAAAGTACAAATAAATTAGGATTTATTAGGATATTTAATGGACGCAGGCACACAGTGCCTCTATATCCATATCAATAATAATCATACATTTAAATTATATAGTAACTTCCGATTAGTGAATTGCAACGAGCCAGATGGTTAAATTTCAGTTCGAGATTTTTCCAATGATTGTCCAAATTAATTTCAAAGTCTCTGATTGTTGATGATTGGATTACTTTTTCTGGTAGACTGTTCCATAGGTCTATAGTTCTTAGTCCAAATGAGTATTTCCGAATGTCCAGATTACATGATTTCTTTTTCAGTTTCTTTGAGTGGCCTCTTGTTTTAGAATTTTCATCTCGATCAAACATGCCTTTGGTGACTTTTTCATCGTGAAATTTATCCATAATTTTGAAAACGTTTATCATATCTCCCCTCAATCTACGGTATGCCAATGTCGGGAGTCCGAGATTCTTGAGACGGTCGCTGTAGGATAGTTCTTTCAGCCCCGGTATAAGCTTAGTTGCCCGTCTCTGCACGCGCTCTATTGATTCAATATCCTTTATTTTGTATGGGTTCCAGACACTTGCGGCATATTCTAAGTGTGGGCGGACTAATGCCTTGAACAGTTGTTTAAAAGACACTTCATCTAAGTATACAAAGGACCTTCTAATAAGACCAACAATACTGTTGGATTTGTTTACAGCTTGTTGCATATGCATAGAGAAATTTAAATCTTTATCCACCGTTACGCCAATATCTTTTTCTGAAGTTATATTTTCCAACGCCACGTTGTCCTCTGCTCCTGCCATATGGTATGTCCATGTTTCTTTCCTTTTTTGTTTTATTGTTAATACTTTGCATTTTAGTTTATCCAAGTCTTGTTGCATTGCCTTCCTGTCCTCATCACTTTTTATTTCTCTATAAATCTTAGTGTCATCAGCAAATAGGTAGGTGTTCGAGGAAGTATAATCTGGCAGATCATTTATATAGATTACAAATAGAATTGGGCCAAGTACGCTGGCCTGGGGGATCCCACTTAATACCGGGTGGTCTTTGGATGCTTTTCCATTAACTAGTACTCTCTGCTTCTTTTTGTGTAGAAAGTTTTCTACCCAGTTGACGACTTGGTCTGCTATTCCGTAGCTTCTTAATTTTTCAATTAACCTGCGATGTGGTACCTTGTCAAAGGCCTTCATAAAGTCCATATATATAACATCAATTTCCCCACCGTGATCTAGTATATCCGTCCAATCCTCAAGCACCATAAGGAGCTGGAGAACTGTGGACCGTTTCGCGATAAATCCAAATTGCTTGTTGCTAAAAAGATCATTGTTTTCCATGTGATTAACGATGGAATTTCGCACAATTTTTTCCATGGTTTTTCCAACTATGCTGGTGAGGTTTACGGGACGATAATTCCCTGGGTCCGATTTTGATCCTTTCTTGAATATTGCTGTGATGTTTGCCTCTTTCCATGCAGATGGAACTTGACTATCCTCCAATGATTTGTTGAAAATAATACATAGCAGTTTGTTTATGATCGAATTTAGTTCCTTCATAACCTTTGGGTGCATTTGGTCAGGTCCTTGAGACTTACTGCCATCCAAGTCTGAGAGGAGTTTTCCGACACTTTCTTCAGTGCATATGATATCTCGAAATGGGTATTTTATTATTTTATTATGCATTTTTGGTGTGTCGCCTGGTGGTTAATAAAAGGTACCAGACTCGTCTGTTAAACTCTGTAAGCTATACAATGAGTGTATTGACGTTCGAGGTTAGTACCTGCTATATAGACCAGATATTTATATGAATTAGATATCTTTAAATCACTAAATTGATCTTGTAGGTATTATGAGTGACTTAAGTTACAAACTTTCTGGACAACAACTGCTGCGACTGACCTTGGAGGACTTGGCTGTCTGCCTTATCAACCATGATGATCCATTCCTGTATAATTGTCCATCAACTTGGAAAAAATGTCAAGAAGAAAGTTTTGATGCAGGTGTAGTGAAATCAATACTGATGCCTGTATCCTTGTTCCATCTGTGACAATTCATTAGATCTCATTCATTCATTTTCTTTTCAATTTCTGAACTCAGTGACTCGGATCACAGAATCTGCCTCATTAATCTGCCAACCAGGGAGCATGTAATTATGTACATGTAATTATAGACATAGAAAGGAATCAAACTCGAAAATAAATACAAAAACTGTCTAACCAAGATTCATAACATACAAAAACACAATTCTGTTCTGCCATCTTTTCTTGTCTTGTCTTGTAATAGAAAATCCCACCTTTGATAGGAGCAACCCTAGCTTTTGCTAGGGTCGTTATGATACACTATTGAACAGTTCTTGTGAGTGAATCTTCGACTATGTACATCGTTAGTAGCAAATAGGTATACACAGCCCCTGGGTGTACTTTACGCCCTGCAGTAAACAAACGTGCAAGTTATATAAAGGAATATACGTTCAGGTAGGAGTGTCTTCGTGACAGATATTCACAGGCGAAGATGTCTCCTTCTGGAGACAAGTATTGAGATGAATTTAACACAGTCTGTATGGAGATATGTTCCTCTTCTGGAAATAATGACTGGAAACTTTCAAGGAAAGCCAAGAATAAAATGTTGACGTGTCTCTGGTGCAGACTTTTATAGTAAGCATGTTAGGTCCACTGTTGTCTGATTGAATGCACTCCGGTTACTTTGGAGCATGTAGGTGTTGGTAATTAGCTTCAATTTAACTGGTAGTCTCGCTACACCTCTGGGGTCAGATGTTACAGTCTTGAGGATAGGGTGTAATACTCCAGGATCGAATGTACAGCTGAGAAGAGATAGTGAAGAGAAATACTTTGACTGATTCAGGATCCAAGTCTTCCAATATCCGTCTACTTGTTTATTGACGATCTGCTTCCACCAGTTTTTCTGAAACTGTACCTCGTCGTCCAGAATATTTTGGGTGCTTGGTAGATCATAGACTGCAAGTAGAGTGGTAGCAATGGTAAACCAGCTCCTAGGGTTGTCTTCCTTTGTTAGAAGTAATCTCTCAGCAATTTCTGTCACAGCGGACTCCTCAGAGATGAGGGTTGCAAACATCTTCAGCATTTTCTTGTGGATAACAGCCTTAGGTGGAATTGATCCTGTCAAGATGTACACTCTGACATCTAGGACACGGTCTGGCATGGAGTATACTTGTTTGAGTATCTTTCTAAACTGTACTTCTAATGGCTCGAGGTCCCTGTCTGTTGGGCCAAATATTTCTAGTCCGTAGACTAATGTGGGAATGACATATGTACGCAGTAGATGCATGCTTGTCTCTGGGTTCAGCCCATTTTTCCCATGGAGACCTGTACCCATTAGGCTGTATAACATCCTACGTCCTTTCTTTATATTGTTCTGTATGGTTGCAGCAGCAGATTTCCTAGGATTTGAGGTATGTAGTACACCAAGATGGACTGCTTCATTAGATACTGGAAGAGTTGTTTCATCGATGGACCAAGGGAAAGGAGTATCTGTAGTGGGCTTACTATTACAGACCGGTAACGCTACACACTTAGTTGGTTGGAGTGTATATACATGTTCTTCACTGTAGTCTTGGACTATGTTGAGTAGGGTCTGTAGTCCCTTCTTGGTATAGTTTACAAGGGCTACGTCGTCAGCACAGGTAGGTGACACACAGGAAGTTTGGCCGATATATTCTATGTCCCAAGGAGACTAACCTATTGAGGAGGTTATTAATATAGATCATTTTATGTTATATCTTTATACATACAGAGTGTATTTCAGATAGAAATGACTTTCTTAACTCTTTCCATACTTATTGTTTGTCAACAATAGATCCTGAAATGAAAGAGTTGAGAAATATGGCACAGGCATCGGAATCCAAAGCAAATGGACTGAGGAATAAGAAAGCTTTGGCTATGACAGATGGTAGAGCACAGGCAGAGAGTATATCATACAGACAGATAATACCCCAGATGAGCATCCCAACTGTCAGTGTTCCACAGGCCGAGACTTGGTAAGGCCTTGGCAATACATATACATGCACATTTATCCATGCTTGCCATGATTGCTAAGTAATACTGACCTCTTTTTTACAACTCAGAATTTAAGTCACATTTTCAAATGAAGTCATTATTGTACTCAATATTCATACCAATATATATATATCTATCTTTCTTTTCAACATTTTAATTCCAGGTTGAGAAATCACTTTGAGGAACAGGCCCATACCAGTGTAGCACGTTCTGATATTTACAATTACTATGTACAGCATTGTGACCATCTATCCTCAGCCCCCTGTAATCCTGCTAACTTTGGAAAAGTTGTCAAGGCTATTTTCCCAAAGATATGTACAAGACGAATTGGTGTCCGTGGAAAGTCTAAGTAAGTTTGTCATAGACTGATGCTATTTTATTGCCTTCTAATAAACCCAACCCCTGACTTTCAGAAAAGAGTAATTTTCAGCTCCCTGGGTTTATTGCAGGATAGATAAGCATATATTTAAAGTACAAGAAATTGAACCATTTACAAGTTGGACAATACCATTTGGATTGCAATTTACAGAGTTAGGGCCCTTTGCTGTTTTATTACTATTGGACATTGTGAACAGGATAACTTGTGTACATATAGTTGAACCTCATTATCGCAAACTCATATCTCAAAGACCCTGTTTAATTCAACATATTTTGTCTGTACTGGTCAAACTTTTCACCATTTTATCTCTCTTAAATTGAATACTCAGATAACGGTTCCGCCGACTTCACATAATAATGAAACTTTGACTGTATAGAACAAATTTTGATGAGGCTTGGTGTGGAGCCTTATATCAGAAATAAATCTAAGTAAGTTTCAATCACAGCACACTTATCACTGTAATTATCAACCAACTCACTCTGAACCTTTTTTCTGTTAATCTTATATCCAACAGATGTCAAATGAAGTCAACCATTGGACCAATTTTAGCATAATGTACAGAATTATGGCCCTGTGTAGTTTAATTATTTTGGACTCTGTGAACATGATAGATGAGTAAATATTAACATATTTTGATGAAACTTGGTATGCAGTCTTATAATAATGAGATCTTGGATGAATTATGCAATGGAACTTGTTTATTTGTAACTTACAGATTTATGTCCCTTTCTGATTTGGTTTTATCATTTGACCTTGTGAATATAATTATCTATCAGGTAATATAAGCAAGAACAGATTTTGAGGAATTTTGGTGTGTAGCCTTACATTGATAAGATCTGCATTGAGTTCAACATGGTGCTGTTTTGATTATAATTTTCAGAGTTATTACACTTTGCTTTTTGTTATTAATTTGTAAATGTGAACAGATTCTATTGAAACAGGGTCTGAAGGTTTCAAATATCAATAGGTTTTTAAATGAGTTTCACAATGAAACAATTTGCTGTGACTTGAAGAGTTATGGCCCTTAGATGCAGTTTAATTTCAGTTGTGATTAGTTTGGTGACAGTTTAGACCCATGGGCATCTTGTATGAATAGGCAGTGTTACTGTAAGATTGATCTCAAATCCAATAAGAAAAAGAAAATCGTAACAAATATGTATGTATTATAGGATAATATTGTATCATTTTATATTACATAGATGTAATTGAGATGTAAAAAAAAAATACATCATTAAACGTACAAAAAAAATACATATTTGTTTCCAAATTGTGAATGCAACTTGTACCAGCTGTGAGATGTTGTAGTGTTTATCATACAGTAAGTCCAGGTACCCAACATACAATGACTGCTAGTTTCTATTTCTCAGGAAGCTGGTTTGATATGTGCTGACTTAGTTGTGTCCTTGGGCAAGATTCTTTGCCCTAATGGCACAACGGGCCAGAATGTTACTGCTAATAGGGCAACATACCCAGCTTTACAGGTAAAAACTCCAGTCAATTCTGACCCAGACTTTCGGCTTTGACTTCTTAAAGATTTGGGAATTAGTGTTCCTTAGAATGACAGGTATTTTTTCCACTGATTTAGGAAAGGGACTTTTTTCATCAAAGGAAATGGAAGGAAAATTTAAGCCATACGCCAGGTATGGGTGGGCTTATTACCAGGCATATACTTATTGCTTGATAAATACAGTAATAGAATTGTGTTGTAGGTATCACTACTGTGGGATTGGACCTAAAGATGGTGATGATGGTCCTTTGGTGTTGGTCAGTACTGGAAAGAATAAGAAGTGGTCAGTGTTACCAGTAATTATTCCATCAATGATATAACTGTCAGTTTCAGTATATAATTGCCTAAAAATGCTTGTTTCACATTACTTTTCTGTGATACAAAGAATATAATTTTCTACTTGTATGAACTACAATAAAACAATAACAGGGAAACAGGTTTACTTATATAAATCTCTCACAGATTTCATAAAAATGACATTGATTGATGTACTGCTGTCTGAGCTGTCTCGGTTATAGTTACAGTGCAATCACTAAGTGTCGTTTCCCATGTTATTGAGTGCCATTCCTTTCTATTCTAGCTTTGCCTATGAAACTAGAATGGACAAGAAAGATAATCCACAGACAACAACGAAATCATCTTTATATCATGTAATTATCAAGGGAAACTAGTTTGAATGTCTGAGATTAGCAGATATGATAAAAAAAATAATAAACCATGTTGGCAGATTAAAAGTTACTCAATACATACAACGTTGACTTTGTGCAGAGGAAGTTTAAATTAATGTCAGGAACCTGGATATATAAATACCTTAAGTGATAATTAGATTTGCTCATCAACTTCCCTAGGGACTGAGATTTTGCAAATATGAAGAGTAATGTCTCACAAAATGTAAATTGTTGATATTTAAACATTAAAGAGAAGCCTAAAAGCCACAGATGAAGACAAGAGGGAGCTGCAGGAGTTACTCCAGCCTTACCCTAATACTTGTGACTATCCTGGTCTTCCAGTGTCGCTGACAAACATTGTAAGTCACTATCTGATACCTCATTACAAGTAGAGTTTATCCGTCTTTGAATGAAACAGACAGTTTTTGTTAGTAATGTCTGAACATTTGCCCTTTCTTAGCTCATTCTTAAATGCAACAACTGTCAGCTTTCAGGTACAAAAAGTATGAGAAAAACACCGTTTACAACAATGGCATCTCTTGATTAGCACAACTCAAGCTGTACTTTAAAACACCATCCTGGTACTACCTTCAGACTTCTTAACACTGAAGTCTTCACACATTACCTCTCTTTGTTCCAGGATTCTCTCAAACTACAATTGACAAACTTAATATGTTAGTGTCTATCGCAATCTGACATCTTGGCACAAGTACGTACAAAGCTATCTTTTACGCCAAGAACTATTTTGATACATTTTGATACTGAAAATTAATTATCATTTAGTCCTAGCTAGTTTGACACAGCTGTCAAGCTTCAAGTACAGCTGAGAAACACTTTAAGTTGGTTTCCTAATTAGCTATTTAGTTTAATTGATTTCTGAATTACATGTTTTCAGATGGGGGAATTCCTGGCACTTTACAAGGCTCACTGCGTGGAGATTCTGGAGCGTATCTTAGAGGCACATTTCTATGAGGTCTGTGGGTTTTAAAAATCTTAAGCTACATAGCTAGCTGCCAATGTTAATAAATTTTTGATGAATGAAACATTGAGATACTGTTTAACCTACCATTAAGTCATTCAAACTTACTGATAAGTACCAGTATTGCTTAATTAAGATATTACTGATTTTAAACATTATCATGATTTCCAGATTGTTAAATGGTTTTTTTTTATCATTGATATTTCTTCATTCAGACAGAACGCTGAAGATTGAAACACAATAGTTCTGTAGTTTTACCATACAGTTCTGAAGTATTAAATATGTTGATAAAGGTGCGTGATGTGATTGTGGAGTTCTGGAGAAGACTGCCACTACCGTTCATCACATGTTCCCTGATGACATATCCTGTAGTGATGGAGGCCATTGTCGCATATGATCAACTTACTTATCAAGCTATTTGTAAAATCCTGTTGCCAGACCCAGTTCAGCCCACACCTTCAGGGTAAGATATGTTCAGCTTATATTGTGTCTACAGAATGTAACCTTCCATGTACACCTCATGGGTAAGTTACCATGTTCATGGTAAGCTTTCCTGTTCAACACACTCACCTAGATTAAGCTTTCGTGTTATTCACATCTTAAGGGTAAGCTTTCATGTTGCTCAAACCTCCAAGGTAAGCTCATACCTTCATGGAATAAACTTCCATATTCAGCTCACGCCAAAGTTAACATCCATGTTCAGCTCACCTTCAGAGTTAACTTCAATGTTCAGCTCACACTTCAAGAGTTAACTTCAATGTTCAGCTCACACCTCCAGAATAAATTTTATGTTCAGCTCACACCTTCAAATTAAACTTCAATGTTCAGCTCACACCTTCAAATTAAACTTCAACGTTCAGCTCACTCTTTCAGAGTTAACTTCAATGTTCAGCTCACACCTCCAGAATAAATTTTATGTTCAGCTCACACCTTCAAATTAAACTTCAATGTTCAGCTCACACCTTCAAATTAAACTTCAACGTTTAGCTCACTCTTTCAGAGTTAACTTCAATGTTCAGCTCACACCTCCAGAATAAATTTTATGTTCAGCTCACACCTCCAGAATAAATTTTATGTTCAGCTCACACCTTCAGGTTAATATTCCTAGCCATATTCAGCTCACACCTCCAGAATAAACTTGACATTAAACACATACCTTATTGACAATCTTTCCTTTTAGTAATTAAATGGGACTACAATATAATTGAATTAAAATTTTCATATAGAGTTAATCAAAACAAGTGACAAACTAGGTACCTTTTAAGAATCCTTCCTAATGATTTTTCCAAGTGTCAATTAGTTGTCAGCATCAAAAGATATATTTTTCAATGACCATTTCAAACAAATTGATGTGTATAATAAGATTGAAACAAACTGTTTAATATACTTTCAGACTTGTACAGTTTATAAAGGACTTCATTGACAATCTGGACTTTTGGATTGTCGAAGGACTCCATATGTATCCAAAGAGACTGCGTGAACAAAAAATGGAAGGTTAAGATTCTATGCATAGATTTTTGTCTTTGGTGGTTTTTGGATGAAAAACTCATGATTAAGAAGAAAAAAAAAATATTGTGTTTAATGATAACAATTTCTTTATTACCACTCTTGTTTTAAATATTTATGAATTATACATGTTTTTGGTACACACAGTGCTCAAGCTCTTAATAGTAATGGATTTTAGTTTAATGCGCCCCTCCCACCCACATCCCCATCACATCCCTCACACATCTTATTTTCATCACAACCATAGAGAAGTTCCATTTTTATTGCCAATTTTCACCACAAGGATAATTTGCCAAATTTTTACAGATCAACATAAAAATCTTTCAGGTAGACACTTGTTGTTAACTTGTGTAAATATTCCTTTTCTCTTCCCATCAAAATTTATGTGGGATGGTTATGGTAAATCATAACTGGACTTGCCTCAGTTGTTAAATTGAAGTTGAAAAGCTCCATAAACTCTATGAGAAATATACCATTTGAAAGTGCAATGTATACCTTTATAAGCTATGAATTTGTCATTTTTCTCTGGCTAAAATTAAGAAAAAACCAGGAATATTTTAGCAAGTGATAACCCAAATATATACATGAAAATTCAACTTTTAAATAAAGGTAAAAAAATCACTGCCTATGAAACATTATTTTGTTTATTACCGTGTTGGAATATAGACTTGATAGAGATATTATAAGGTATGGCTCACTAATTGTTTTGTCCTATATACAGCTTGTTGTAAGTTCCAGTCACTGATGACTCAAAAACTCCAGCTCTCCTGGACTAGTACTGCCATCAGATTTGTTTTTCAAAATCATGAATCAGTTGGTCGCCTCCAGCAGGCCCTCCAGGAACTAGACATAGAGGACATTACAGCACGCTGTAGCCATGGCAATGTAGACGAAGATACTGTCAGACAACGTATGTAGTTTATGAGGAGTTACTTCCCCTTGGTTTATATTGAACTGTTTGGAATCATTGAGGACTGGATTGATAGATGTTAGTTTGAAGCTAAAAAAGCAATTAGTCTCTGTTAGTTACCCATAGGGTATGGTAGATGTGAAGGGGACGATGGTCCATCCTTCAATCTGTCCTTCCATTATCTTGTTGATGGAATACCACACTTAATGTCCTTTACTTACAATCTTACATGGCATCACTGATATCACTTACAATACTTGGCTCTGAATCTTTATACTTGGAGTACGGGTTCACCTTGGTGAGATGATGTATCATGTATCAAAAGTTGGTATCTGATCCCATTTACACTATCTCCTACACTACTTGTCACCGAAAATTCAGACTTGGGGTATGGTTCACCTTGGAAACGTGTGCCATTTATCTATAGTAGGTCACGCTTGGCTGTAAAGTTACCTTTGTCTTGCTTATAAAAATGAAAGCTTGTCCTGGGGTTTGGATTTACATTGGTTAGTTGGTGTGTCAATGAAGGACTGTATTTTGCCAAACTGTCTTGTATGTACAGTTACAATAAGATTTTCCAAATCAAATCCTAGTCTGATGTTTTTTCGTATTCTTTACTTAAGCTTGCTCTTCAATTGAAGTGAAGCTCTTTTGTAGCACAAATCTAATTGAGTTTTATGAAAATGAAACAACATTTTCTCTGCTTGCTTTTTTAGACCTTGGAAGGTTTCAACACCTTTTGATTAACAACTGCGATCTCGAGGATTACATTGAATGGATTGAAACAATCATCCTTGACCATCTCCATGATAATGAGGTAATCAAAGTAATATATCAAATGAAACCCTATCAAAGACCGCTTCAAAGTTAAGATCACCTCCCTATTAAGACAATATTCAAGTTCCTCAAAATTTCTCAATGTCTTTGTATTGTATGCTCCACTGTACACACCACCTCACTTTTATAACCAAGCCTCACATATATATATAAGACAGTTTAAAAAAAAAAAAGTTTTGCATTAATGTCACCTCACCTAATAGGATGCTTAATTGTTTCTTAGTTATAAATCATACAGTGATGGAAAGATAAAGCATTGTGGGATTGCTGGCCATAGTAAATTTATAATCACAATTTTAGAGAAGTTCCGCGAAGTGGTGGCTATTGTAAATATGCTGGAAAATAAAGTTGTTGAGAGAAATGAGTGGAAGCACTTTGTTCACAACATTTGCTTTGACACTAAAAAGGACAGATACAACACAAACAAACAGAATGTCGGTATGACAATTATTGAAGCGATTATAATTGGCAAAATTGCATTGAATGTATCAACCAGTTTCAAGCGATAAATCAATTAATCAACAGATGTCCCAACACTAATGTAAACATACATGTTAGAGTGTAGAGAGAGTGACAGGCTGTTGATGAGATTGACATTCGATGTAGAGGGTAATATACTTGCTTGTGTTGTAGGCTACTGGTACACCTGCAGAAGAGGCATCAAAACAACTGTTGTTGCGGTGGTCATATTTATCTGGGCAAGTCCTGCTCCAACTAACCCTGGCAGCCAGTCAAACACTAGGTAGAAATGGAAAAAATCATTTCACTTCAACTTTCAGTTTCATTTTTGACATAACATGGATAATCTTATAATATTCAGTCTCTTTATTATGCTGCCAGAAGGAGAGCATATAATTGTTGCTTTGTTCATCCGTTAAGTCTGACTGTCCGGAGCATGATATGAAAACTATGAGAGGTATAAACATAAAACTTCATAGGTAGATAAATTTCAACAAGTAAAAGTGCGGTGTACGAGAACCACCTCTCTTTTTTTCATGATTTAGGAGTTATTGCCCTTTTTTCACACTCTGGTATTGGCATAAATATGTCATATATCATAGATTCTAAAACAATATAAAAAGTTCTATTTTTGACATATATGTACAATGCATATGTTTAACCATCATTTCTCAAAAAAAATAGTGTTTGTTTATTACCATATAACTAATACACTTATGAACTGAAGTAGATTTAGAGAATAAAATAACATTGCATGTATCTATGTACAACATGTATGTTTTTTTTCTCTTTCAGGTTCATTCCATTTACTTGACATTCTGTTCAAGGATTATGCTGTATATTATCTTCACCATGTCCTGAGCGTGCAGTAGCATGCTTGATCAGATACATTAAGGCATGTTATTATTTTTGTAGGTAACACTATAGCCTATGTCCTTGCTCCACACCACAACTAAATCATCACCTGTGTTATACACTGCACAACACATGGGATGGTATATACAACATGTACCTGACAACACAACCTGTATATATCTATATATTTCATTTAATTAAAGAAATCAATCAAATTTTATCTTTCTATTTTAAGGATAATGGTTTGTGATACAGATATTTTTACAATTTTGATATTATATACTGACTCTTACATAAGTAAATAAATCTTATATCTACTTCAATAACTTATATATAAAATGTTTGCATTTCTTAGGAGTTCAATTTTTAATCAAATTTATACCACGTTTCTGTAACATTTACAATTTTTTATTGTTAGTATGATTTTGTATTATTTGAATAGTAAGTTAATATATACAAAGAGATACATTTATTATGGAAAGTGATACATTTATCATACAAAGTAAAATATATTCATTATACAAATAAGATATATTCAGTATACAATTTTTAAAGTGATATACATGCATTATCATACAAAACAATATATCTTTATTTGTGATTTACATTGTTTTGATATATTAATGGAAGAATAAACTGATATTGAATTAGTTTTTGTTGGGGTATTATATGTACCCGTGTTCAGCTGTTTATGATGTCTTTGTACATATGGATGATGACCACTGTCAGATGAACTTTGATGTTGAAGAGAACTGGCTATTGTTGCTGTGGAAAGCAATGTCCTGAGTAATGTACATGAAGGGACACATTTTCAACAGGACCACATTTTGAGCAAGTACTGACCTTCAACTAATGGGTTTATCTTGGGCTTAATTTTCTCGGACACAAGGCAAGGAAATCTGAAGCACAACTTGCTGCTAGTCGGGAAAAAATGACGTAGTTGTCTTAAAATTTTATTTAAACTTCAAAACAATTAACAAAAAATAATTATCTGAAAATAACTGGATCATCAGACACTGCGGTAAATATCAACACCAGTTTGTTTGTCAAAATAAAAGTAAACATCCTCGCCCGCTGTGTTATGACAAAAGTACCATGCTGCAGGAGTAATAACGATGCATTTTATAACGTGGAATAGAAGTTTCAGTTTGATCGGCAAATTACATCGTTAAAAAAGAATACTATCAAGTCCAAACTAAATTAACAATGCACTTAATGATCCCATGAAGTTTATAATAAGTTTCCTAAGTTGGAAGCTGTCGTTGATGAGTAGAGACGTAGAGTACAATACGTCTCTATGTCTATGTTTTATTTAGAGCGACATTTGTAGGTCATGTAACTATTTTGAGATTTTTCTTGATAAAAATGTAATGTGAGATAATTTGAAGTTACATCATGAGTGACGAATTCATCAATCAGCTTGTTCAAAGCATTGGAGATGTTAAACAATACCTGATTCATTAAATAAAGACTGAAAAGAACAAGTAAATTTCCTTTGACCAAAAATTTTATGAAAATGATTGTGAAAAAGATCTTGCACCTTTCAATACAGGTACTAGATACAATTCACGTATAGATGCCAAATGATGTGTAGCATAAATACAGCTGTTTGGTAAAGTTGGACGTAATCTCACGATACGATGTTGTAAAGGTGACCAGTAAACTGAATGATATCAACCACAGTGTGTGCTTTTTCGCGTGATAAGAAAAATTAAAACATTTATTTTCAATCTGGTATGCCTTATTTTACTGTTTTGCCTCGAAAATTTTGTCACTGTCCACTCTAATCTTGACCCATATAGATTATCAGTGTAGCTGATAAGACAGGTCTAGTGCTGACCATAGAAAGTAGTTAAAGATGATGTTGCTAGTATATCTGTCAGTGTTGGTCTCTGGTTGCCAGAGTACCAAGTCTGTGGACAAACGAATCTTGCTGAATGACCCGCAGTATGTACAACAAGAGTTTACCAGGTTTCAGTCAGAATTACAGGAGCTTCAGGTTAGTAGAATGACAACAGATGTCACGATATCAAAGTCAAACTTCCACTACCTAATAATGGGAATGAGTTTTTTGTTTTCTTCTCTGTGACTGTCTTGTCGTGACTTCAATAGTACTCCATAAGTGGAATCAATGAAATGCAAGTTTTTCAGAAATCTATAGCTTTTTCCTATCAACATTGCACATCCTCCTTCTGTAAAACTCCTCTCTATACAATATCGTAACGCCTTCCAAACTGCAGTAAAATTTTCGTCCTTTAGTTGTTAACTACAATGGAGTTTATTTCGTGAAAAGCATTCTGTAGCGGCTCTCGTGGCTGACATGTTTTTGTTCTCATGTCGGGCTGAATGATGTTCTGAGGCAATAAAATGGAGACCAGTTTTTCACTAAGTTGTACGATAAGCGTTATTCCTGGTGCAATGTTGATCACGTGTCCCTTATAATATATATATTATTTGAGAAATCTTATATAGGATATGAGAAATCTTATATTTAATTGACAAATTTGCCTGTCATAGAACTTTATGATAGAATTCTAGACATATATTCAATGTCTCCTTCCGTACACCACGATTTGTGCGTTTGATTTCGACAGCAGACAAAACTAACTTACAACACATGATTTAGGAAGAGTGATAGAGACATTATTATGGTCGTCATCATGGTGTATTCGATGCTCGTTTTCCAAACTTTGTTTTACGACATTTAACACTTGCAACAGCCAAAAACGAGTGTCAATAAAGACACGAAAAATGGAAAAATAACGCAAAGCAAGACAAGAAAGGAAAATATCAAAATCCCTAGTGTTGGAATAAAGAGTCTCTGCCAAGGCTCGCAAAATAAAAAACAATATCATTTCAAACGTAAACACACATCTAAGATCTATATGATGTAAGTCCTAGACAGTATACGTCTTCTATTTCAACAAATCAAAAGGATATAATGTTCGTAAGAACAATGACATGTACTGATAGCTTATCAACAGATAGATTTCCTCATATCAGCGTAACTTTTGCTTCACTGTAGGTAACACTCAACACACAACACCAGGAAAATGTGAATTTGAAGAATACCATGACAAGTTTAAATAAGACCGTGGCAGAGCTTCAGTTTACAATTCGAACACAAAATATGACCTCCATCCAGAATACCGTGAGTGAAGTAGGTACTAACAAAGGAGCGGCGGTTTTTAATCGATGGGGACGAAAGGACTGTCCTGCTAACATAACCTCATTGGTGTACACAGGTTATGCCGGGGGTTCCATGTTCACAAGCCCGGGGGCCGCAGCCGAGTACCTGTGTATGCCCTCTGACCCAATCTGGGGGCCACACAAGGACCTTTCCTATAGTAACGAATGGGTAGGTTATGTTTATGGAGCCGAATATGAAGGTGTTGGAACTACTTTGTTTGGCATGGGAGATGGTACTCATGACGTGCCTTGTGCCGTATGTCTCGGCAGCCAGTACACCGTCTCTCTCATGATTCCTGGACGGACTGAATGTTATCCTGGTTGGACGAAGGCTTATCATGGTGACCTTTCATCTGGATCTCATAACGTGGCTGCAGCCACCCAGTACGTATGTGTAGACCAGCATCCCCAGTACCTGGAGGGCGGAGCTGACAAAAACGAGAACGGGAAACTCTTCTATGGTGTTAAATCGAAATGTGGCCCTCTTCATTGTCCACCATACGAGGACAATAAACTTCTCTCCTGCGTTGTTTGTTTGAAATAAATAATAATAATAAACAGCTGAAGTACGAAGACGAAATAAATCTTGTTGTTTCTATTTTTGCAGTGTCGTCGTCGACTGTGCATGCAGATATTTTCCATCTCTTCAAGTAGGTTCAGTTCCTCTAATATTCCGATACGAACATATCCTTCGAAACAGAGTAACAGTGTGTTTTCCCTCAAATTTTTCGAAACACGGAACATCCTCTTGGTCCTAGTTTACAACGAACACAAAATATTCGAATTCCGCGTTCCTCTAGTGGCCAATAAATTAAACCATGAAAATAAAAAGCAACAAAGAAGACCTCATATGAAGGATTTATACCATTATGAATTACTCACGAGAGATTTGAAATTATGTCTAGCGACTTACATCACTATAGATAATTCAAGTAATGTTCAATACGATATGTAAAGTGCTCTATGGTGATTTATATAAATTCTACATATCGTGGATAGCGCACGTTGTCTTCCTGAGTCAGTTGCGTTCCCAGAGGTTTCAGGTTTGAATAACCTGTCGTAAACCGGAATGTGTAGGGGTAACATTCTATCTGATCAAATGTTGTGAAGGTACAATAGAATCCTATCTGACTGACAATCTAGAGTGTCTCCTCAGTTTTATTATCTTTGCTCAGTTCGGCATAGACGATATCCCTTTCGGATTTATCTATCACACACTTGTTGCATTCAACATATAAACATTATCCACTTATCGTATTTATTCGCCGAACTTAGTGTTACGCGAATGAATTTGAAATTGAAATCAAAACGACAATATGACATACAAATTATTACAGAATATAAGATCGGTGAAGACCTTATTTACACTTCCTGTTTCCAAATATTTTCCTTAAAATTGTTCATATGGATCCGTCGACAAACTTTTGAAAATGGTCTTTGAAGAATACAGATTTTATTTCTAGATTTTTCCTCGACGCAATAAAGACATTCGTCTTTAAAATAGAAAGATCTTCCAGGAATTTCGTTTGTATATGTTTCTTACATAAGTATAAGATGGTAGTAGTACCTAAGCGTTTAGTTAACCCTGACCAGAGGGATCTTGGCGCAAACCATGACCTTCGCTTGAGCTATACAAAATGGAGCTTATCCATCCTTGACTTTCACGGGTTCCTCTGTCCCTTTTCACTTTTTCCAGTGTGTCTCAAACTCTATAATGCACAAGAGACAATCGGGAACTCGTGCCAAGTCCCTGTGATCTATTCGGCATTTCGCAACAAACAGCAATGACAAAATTTAATTATGAAGATCCAAGATGATCGAAAGGCAAGATGGCCACCTGTAGGCCATATTGTTTTTTTTTTTCTTTATTTTTCTGATCAGTCCCAAAGCTGACTGTGCACAACTAGAGACCAAAGGGAGTCTACAGGTAAACCGCAAGCCAGATCCATTAAATCGCATTTAAATTTAGCTTGTCAAAGGTCAATCTATGTTAATTCCTTCGGTCAGAATTTAATGATAAAACGTACATACAAATGTCATGACCCTAAACAGTCATCTGGCAATCGACGAATGGATGGACAAACCACGGAATTCACTGATGGTGGTCTTACAAATCTGATAAATTCAAATTTTGAACATTTCTTGAAAGTATCACTCATAAATGGTAGATTCTGATAATCAAAAACAGTTACAGACATGCTACAAAATGGCTACCCTGTTGATGTTTTGATCAGGCTGTTAAACAACAACAAATCATCTCTTTTTGCTCCTTTGCAAGTCAAACTCCAAATATTTTTCACGTTGGTTTGAATGAAAGTTGAGAAGTAGGTCTGACTGCTTGTTCTAGATGGTCGTGTTGGATTTTGGACCAAAGTGAAAAAAAATGATTTGGTCGGGATAATTATGTTTGATGTCATTGCCAAATTCGGTTGTCTACCCAGCCATGAAGAAGTAGTAGCATTTTGGAGCAAAATATCTATAGTAACTTCCCCTTTTGGGGTCCCACCTCCAAGTCTCTAGGGGTAGAATCCACTTTCTGAATTGGTTTGATCCCCACTCACAACGATGTTTTGTAAGGTGTTTGGTTTACATACATTCAAGCCTTAAGGAAGATAAGTGTTTTGAAGCAAAATTATTGAATCCTGCCCCCACTCTCAGGTTCCTAGGGATCAAATCAACTTTCTGAATTTATGAAATGATTACTCACCTGCAATTATGTTTCAGACAAAATTTGGTTGAAATCTACCCAAGCATTAAGAAGGGGTAGTGTTTTGAAGGGAAAGTTTATGGACTATGCCCATAACAATAGGCCATCTTGACCTTTTGAGTTAGATGACTTAAAAACATGAGTGCAATTTTTACATTGAAAACAAACAAAAGTATGACTGGACAGAAGCATTGATGAATTGTTTATTGCATACAGTTTAAAATCTGACATTAACGGAGTATATATTTGATCTACTGGAGACTAAATACACTGCATGTAGAATATTATAAAAAGATCATCTATCCTTGATAATGTTGGATGAAAAATCATGAGCAAATCATGGCAGAATCAAAAACATTATATATGTTCCAGTGCATGCAAATATGAACCAGGTAGTACGTTTGTTGAAATTACCTGCTGATTTTAGATTTCTTATACACATGCACAAGTATTTCATCATCACAGACGGCTAGGCTAACCTGACATTATATCACAACATTTCGAGAACAAAAGCACACAAATATGACTCTGACAGCTTAAATCACACACTTTCATAAACAAGATTCCAAATGTAACAATTTTCAGATCCATGATCATTCAAAATTTTGTCTGCCTCTGAGATCTTATTGCCATTAGTAGTGGACTACAAATTTTGCATCTGATGTTAAAAAAATGTGGAATGTTTTTAAATAAATGCTGACATTCTAGTGTTACTGCACACGAAAACATGTTTCTCTGATAACCTCTTATGGTAGTTGAAGACAGCAGCAGTCACAATTTCAGTTATTTCATAAAGAAGAATTATGCATTGACAATGTGCTGGTATAAATGTATTTGATATTATTTACAAACAAATTAAAATGTACATAATGATTATAAGCAAAATAAGTAATTTGACATGATATTACAGACTATAGATTTGACCATAATTGCTTAGAATATTGCAGTATTTAAACCTCTAGATCAGAAACCCTGCAGTAACAATAGAAGTGTTACCAACCCTCGTAAGTTAATTTTAGATTGCATGTAGAAAAAAGATAATTATCTTCAAGTCATAAGAGTGAGACAATAATGATATGGTACCATCAGAAGTTAGAGAATCTCTTTCTCCTTAAACATACATGATAATAAAATGATAATGATTTCTTCAATCTTCTTCTGATTCAGATTTAAACATCAAATCTATGCATACATGTAGTTTTTTCACTTCTGAATAACTGTTATACACAATAGGGTCCCTTCAATCCTCAACAATACATTTTCCATAAAATGATGGTTGTACATATTTAATTATAATCATTACAAAAACACATCAAGCCTTTCTGATGTCCTAGTTAAAAGTTGATGGGATTATTTCAGTAGTAAAACACAGGAATCAAAGGAGCCATGCTTAAACATAAAACTGTTCAATCATATACATTTACAGAAACTTGATTTGATGAACAATGTTCAGAAAACAAATAAAAGCAGTATTTGATATGATAATGCTTTATCAACAAATAATTTTAACAATCAGCAAATGAATTTTAATATTTTCAATTAAAGAAATATTCAATGTGAATGGAACAGATAGACTTTATAATCATGAAAAGTGAAGCATTTTAATGATGTTTTCATACTGTTAACTGTAGTTTCGGTATCAACAGTGAGAAAACACACTGATATCCAGAAATTATTTCACCTCAGGAACTGGGGTATGGTTCCAGTTACAGACATGAAAGTAAGGGGGTCACGTGCCTCTACAACTTTGATACTGATGTCTCCTTAGTACTGCACTTTATGTACTTCCTTTTTTGTCATCAGGAGTAGTTTTTTAAACCGATATAATCATTACACAATTGTCGTAATAAAAATAAAGTTTATTCTTTGTACTTTTTTCCAAGTGTGAACGAGGTAATACCAATATTATTTATTCCGACAGATTATCACAAAAACAAGTTAAATTTTCAATTTTTTTTTCATGTATTTTTCTTTCTGTTTTTCAAAGTGCATTTTGCAAATTAGAAGTTGGAACTTAATACATAAACCATCAAATATTGCCAATCATGAATTAATACATTTTTGAGTATTTTCTATCAACAGTCTACACACATCATGTACTTGTAAAGGATTTTCAAAAAGTCCAGATAACTAAAACCTGACAAACACTACTAATTGATAAAATCTTATTTCATATTTGTGCTGAAATGATAACAACTGGAATAAATATGACATACATTGCTAAATTGATCTTTGTACATGTATAATGATATATATTGTGAGGCTTTGACTTAAACTTAGTACATTTGAACTATGATATACATAACAGTGTATGTAACTGTTTTGTTACTGCTTAGAGAAAAGACTTTTTCTATCTACTGCTGTTTATTAATAATGAAAAAAACACTTTCTGCAGAATGAATTTTGTATGATAAGCTATTTTTTGTGATGCCAATTCAAGACATCAATCTAATATGGTAATTTGATGAAATTCTATAGAGGATCTCAATATGGCCGTCCATTTCATATAAAAATTTACTTAAATATGTTTCAAATTTCACCAAAAAAATTCAATTTAATTGTTTAATTGATTTCAGACAGAAAATTTTCTCAGGTCGGCTTTTATTCATCGTTCAACATTAGATATAAAAAAATTTCCTTCTTTGGACGTCACAAAGCAACTGGAAGTGTGAAATGAAGTTTTGATGTTCGAAAGAAAGAATGGGGACCAACAAGTTATAACAGCTCTGCTTAGTCATGAATATTTACATGTACAATTTATATAAATTACTATAAATTTTTTCATAAAGCATCAATATACACTAACTGGAGTATACAAACATGGACTTTGCTTTACATTATAAGACCATATTAATCCTACAGTATGATAAAGGATATCCCAGTTAAACATTTACTTGACCCCAGAATTCCAAAACAAATCACCTTTATCCATGGTTCTGTTTTCTTACTATTAATTCTACACAAATTATCAAAGATGGTTTGTGCTTTTAAAAAACCTTAAGTCCTTGGTTGGGATAGATGTTTTACTGGAATAGCCTCACAAAACCTGGAGTCCTAGGATGGGATAAATGTTTTACTAAAAAAGCCAAACATATCCTGGGAGTGAGATAGATTTGTTACTGAAAAAGTCTGAACAAAACCTACAGTCCTGGTTATTATAGACAGTTACCTGGAATAGCCCTAAAGAGGCCTTAACTTACATTCAGTATCCTGTGTGTAGCATTGGTTATCATTTTGGATGAAACAGCACTAGATCTGGTTAGTTATATAACTAAGATGGGCCTATTTCTAGATGAAAATATGAGTAGTTTGAAACACATTTATAAAAAGCATACTAAACATTAAGCAATTAATAGTACCATGAAGTCCTTGATATTAACTCTGTTCCAATGTGATGTTATAAACCATCAGAAACGTTCATGTAAAATTCTGTAAATATTGTCTTCAGGTTAATCCAAGCAGAATGAACAGGTTTTCATTTAATATTAGAATCCTGTGTAACACACTTTTCATGTATTAAAATATCTGACCAATGAAAACTGAGCTGTCAATCCAGTGTAATTAAACCACTTTATGGATTATAGAAACCCAGTTTCTAAGGGGAAAAATAAAAACAATTTGAACTAGTTTTCCAAGGGAAAATACGGTAGATTTACCGTGTAAATATTCCAGTACATCTATATAAAGTTTATTTTATCTTTTTCAATAATTCTTCTCAGAATGAGCACATATTCAATCCATTAATCAACAAATATCAGGAGACAAGACTAAGGTGAAGATATTTCTAAAACAACAGTGTTAATTATCATAGGTTTCTTTTAACTCTTACGGAACAAGTATAGCACACTGACTAGATATATATCATTACAATATCATTATTAACAGTTAATTCAAAGACACATTGCCGAATACTAAAATATCCGTTAATATTAGGTATTATTGCACACTCACACCTTTGTCTGTCTACTGACAACATACACCTAAATTACTGGGCAATATCAGAGAGAATAACAATGTATGTATCCATACATCATATATCAACTTTATAGTAAGAATTTATACATCATATATCAACTTTATAGTAAGAATTTATATGTCGATTCTGTGTGTTTGTATGTCGATGTAGATTCTGTGTGTTTGTATGTCGATGTAGATTCTGTGTGTTTGTATGTCGATGTAGATTCTGTGTGTTTGTATGTCGATGTAGATTCTGTGTGTTTGTATGTTGATGTAGATTCTGTGTGTTTGACTGTTGATATTTGAACAGAGCTTGGTATTGTCCAGAAACAAATTAATGTAACATTATATAAGCTCTGGAGAAATTCAAGAAGTCACAAGAAATCGAAAAATCTGATGGTAACAGAAAAAAGATCAAGATCAACGATAAAATGTCCTCAATAAATAAAGGCACAACTAGGGCACTAACCTAATATATACAGAAAGTTATGAGGAGGTGAGTGGAATGGTTTCGAAGTTGTAGCCCGAAAAGGAAAGTTAACACTAATTTTGTGTTTTTTTCAATTTGTTTCGTGGAGATATAAATACAATTTAAATCAAAGTAATCTATCTTGGATGTAACATGACCATGCATTTTGAAAATTACTTTCACATTGTTACCACAGAGATTTTCTTATTTCCCTTAAACACAAAAAAAATTATTTCATTTATCACTTTTTGTAAAATAGATAGAATCTCATCTTTTTACTAAGAATTTTAGAATAACACAATTTTTGAAAAATTAACGACAACTCAAAAATCAAAATGCAGCCTCTGTCTATAGAATAGTCTGATGGGAAAATTGAATAAAACGTATTCTGAGTGTAAAAGGTGAGATTTTTTAATGTCAATGCCACTGTTTCATCTCTGAATTGCCACATATAAATATCAATCAATAAGTCCAAATTTCACTTCTGCTTCTGAAGTCAATTAAAAGTGCTTTCTGTGATAAGACAATATCATGTGGAAAAACATTATTCCTTTGTGTGCCAGATAAAAATCTTGTATAAGTACAGTTCACATGGTGTCACAGAATAAATCAGTACATCTCATTGCTTTGACGTAAAATCTTCTGCAACAGAGCACAGACTGATACAAATGTCAACACAGTTGTTAAACTGTGTATACCTTACACAACGATATGTTCTGCTTCCCTCTCTTACAAAACATAAACTCTCAACTGATTCACAGGAATTTTTTTTTTGTATAATTTTTCAAACAAAACCATACACCTCTACCACTTTACAGGTGAAGTCTTGTCCCGGACACAATGGTTCGTTGAGGAAAGTGTCACACTTTTCAGTGCGACAGTGGTGCAGGTTAGCATCCAGTTGTATAGCTTCACCATTTCTATAAATAGAACAGGTCACATTTTCATTAATTAAATACAACACATACACTTTTCTTCCACATTATGTCCTTATAATTTAAGAAAAAGAAAATTTGTGTCTGGGTATTCTGCGACTCGGAGACAAAATTATCAAGAAAAAATTGACCTGTTTAAGAAATCTTAATCAAACTCATTGAAAGTACAATGAGAACAAAACTGATTGTTCTAGAACAGAAAGTACTTTCAACTTGATTAATGACACCTTTGGTTAATCCAATGGGAGACATTACCTGGTATAAACCCTTCATAAAATGGTGGGGCATAATTACTACTCACCCGCCTCCGACAGTCAGCATGGAGTTATCACCGGCTAGAAACATGTTGGCAGTATTAGGAATGTCCTCCTGCTGGAGTCCCACCCAGGCATACTTTTGCGTCTTTGGGTTCAATGTGAAAATAAACGTTTCTCCCGTTCCAAAGTAGGACAGATTCTTGGTACTATGCTTTCTGTCTCGCCAGTAAGTGGAACAAAAGGCTCCAAATACCTACAAAGGGAGATAACCAACTAATGAAACATTCACATATTTTTCTTGGTGTGATTTTGCATATCCTTTTAAGAGTCATCTGTCATGGAACATTTTTAAGAAACCTTACTTATTATAGAGTCCTGATAATCCAAAGGAAGAAAATCTATTAAATCATAGGTATCTATTTCATAACATGACATTTATGTAGATCAAGATGAAGTGTTAGCTCTTGTGTTTGATAAACCCGAGCTATAAAACTGTACCTCATCATTTGTTGTTTTGATGACGATGAGAGTTGGCTGGTGGTCTTCCACTCGAGTATACAATGTCATCAGACTTGTCCCATGCTCCTCCGATGTATACAGAAGTTCTGGTTGACACACAGCAAAACGTGGAGGAAGCCATGACCACACAGTATATAGCTGGGGAAAGAGGTTATTTCATATTATAATCTTTTACAAAGAAACTTCTTTTGATGGCAGTTAGTATTTCATGTTTCAAGGAATCATCATCAAACACAAGGAAAACCACCACAGTAAACATCTCTTCATGTACATGTGTATTTGGATAAAACCATTTTCCATACTCTACCCAATATACATGAACAAAGTCCATCATTGCACAATGCTTCTGAAATATTTGCAATATAGGCTGTACATGCTGAGGCTAGGACATCAGAGGCACCTTTTTATAACTTTGTAGACTGTAGTATGATACATACACTATGTATGGGTTGACTTCATAGAAATATGCTTAAAAGAAACACATATCTGTGTACAAACAGTAGATTCATCTAAAAAAAGTTTGGTTAGAATGTTATAAGTAGGGCTTGTTTTGCCTTTTTGACGATATTATCTTATTACCTTGTTAATTGAAGAGAGATCACCTATAAAAAGAGATTATCTCAGTAGACAGACCAATTCCATATTGATGGGTAAAAGAGATCACTATGCAGATTTCCTTTGTAATGGTCTTTGATAAAATAAGGTATCATAACATACATGATTTGAAAACATCATAATTACAGACACATTACTACACATTTACATACAACAAGTTATATACACAGCTAGCAGATATAGCCTAAGGTCTCCTGTATATAAAAGCACATTTACATGCAAGACAAAAAATCTGCTAGATTGGTTTAACTGTAAGAATTATGGTATTGACTATAAAGGGGTTCTGCGATACAAATGAACTTTTTTGTAGCTAATTTGGTCTCAGAATGGATGAGTATATTCATTTACGACATACACACTGAAGACATAAGAGAGACAGCTTACTTAGAGATTTCATTGCTTCACAAAGTTGATGTACTATAGTATTATTGAGCTCTCTAGTTACAATATAACCTGATATCTCAAAACTAATAACTTCTGAGTTTTAGAAACTACAATTTCAAAAATTACACTCAAATAACAAAACCTTAGAAGCTACTTCTTAAAAAATTTGTCATCTATGAATTCCAGCGAAATATTACAGGTGTCACGGTAATAGATGTGAATTATGACTGGTTATGATAGAACTCTGCTTTCTCTTGCTAACACCATGTAATGTATATACTACTCTACTATGATGATGGTATTTTATGTAACCTGTCAGATATATTCTGGAGATTGATATATATCAATGACCTTTATAACCTTCATAACTTTGAATATATTTACACATAATAACCCTATTTCACGACTCAAGGAAGTGAATGTATCACAAAAATATTTTGCAGATTCAGTTTACTGGAAATGGAACTTCTCTTCATATTAAGCAAATATTTTTTTTTAATTATAAGTTTTAATCTGCAATTTTTGTCTAATTATCTATTTTTTTAATAACCTTTATCAAACAAATTAGTTGGACATGTTATAAATACATAGTAAGTTTAATTCTGAGAATTTTGAAAACGTTACAAAAACCTGAAGCAAATCTCAAAGTTCAATACATGGTAAAAGTCATGCAGAAAGAAGCATCCTACAAAATTAATTTCAAATTTTAAAATCAGTTTGTTCTAAAATTAATGTCTAAACAAAAGTGTTTGTATAAGATAGAAATAAATACATAGACCTACTTAAGGACAGGATGGACATAGTGTATTGTCAGTCATTTTATGATGGGTATAAAAAGCACTCTATACTGTAAACATTACATTATCAAAGTTAACAAATGAAACAAATCAAATGAAGTAAAATGAAAAGTAAGTTACCTGAGTGAAGCAACAAAAAACTCGTTTTTGTACATTCTCTTTAACCTCTACCGTAAAATCTTTGTCAACTGTTCCTGTACAGACCGTACAATTGATGGCGTCAAGGTGACGGTGGCGGTGATACATGTTACGAATATGTTTTCTTAATGCATGTACTTTATTCATCTTGAAAGCCACTTGTAAAAATGTCTGGTAAAACCCCCAAGTAAATAAGACACCACAGGAATTGATAGGCAAGCTTGTGTTAAAATCTGAATGTTTTTGAGGCATTCGTTGATATTTTAAGTGATTTTTCTTTTAGATTTTAAATATATATATGTCTATATTTATCCCAAAAACTGAGCAAATCACTTTTTTTGCCTCAGTTTCAAATTTGCTGTCTTCCTTCTCTAAAATTAGATAGTTCTGTCACCAACGATGTTGTTTTAAATAAGATCCCACAATTATGCCTTTGTAAATTTATGCCTAATCGTGAGTGAAGAAACTTAGCTGGATTTAACTGTATTTAACAATATTTCTAAATCCCACATCACACCTCAATCACAGAACGATCCTAATGTTGTATCAGAATTTAAGCAGAATCACCACATTCTTTCCAATGTCACTGATACAAAACAAGTCCAACATCTATTGAGTGTACATATCCAGTGTCAGAAATCAATCCTTTTAGATTTGTTGCGAGTTTTGACTTTAGGTGATGAAACATTTGATCATTAAATCCGAGTATATCCACCAAGATCAAATTACACATGGACTGAGAAACTTCTACTTAATAAATAGAAATATCACTAACAGACTTCCACATTGTAGTGTTGGATATATATCACATACTGAGACCACAGCTCTTGCTTTGTCTGTCCTAGGTTTACATCTAAGCTGAAGATGTATACAGTCTATAATATTACCACAAATTACCCTGCAGGCACCAAAACCAAACCGCTGGCAACCAACTCTGAACACGGCCTACAAACCCGCACATAAAACTAACGTCATACACAACACAAAAAAATAAGAGTTAAATTCCTGAAAACTGCTAATCATAGCTCAAAAATTATATTAATGTGTAGAATTTTAAGTCAGTTGATCAAAAGAACTTTTCTTTCTGAATGCTGGTATCTTCAACTTCAGGTGACCTGTTCATACCCCAGGGGCCTGTCATCTATCAATTGCAATACCGACAGATACAGGTATACCATAGATACTCAGGGGAATATATTTGTAAACTTCTAATACCTGTATACAGTCAGGTAAGCTAAATTTATATATAGACTTCTTGTCACGATCATTTTGTATGACCAGTATCCCAGAGGCAGCTGCAGGTGTGAATTGCAGTTACTGGTGGAACTTACCATTGTCAACTGATTGAGAACATTCATATGGAAAAATAGTGTAGAACACGTTATGGAAGAAACAAGGGATCTGGAGGCCCACCTTTCTTTGATCTTTGGTCACTACACTACTGAAGAAATAATAGATCTAATAGTGATCTGGGGGCCCACCTTTGTTTGATCTTTAGTCACTACACTACTGAAGAAATAATAGATCTAATAGTGATCTGGGGGCCCACCTTTGTTTGATCTTTAGTCACTACACTACTGAAGAAATAATAGATCTGATAGTGATCTGGGGGCCCACCTTTGTTTGATCTTTGGTCACTACACTACTGAAGAAATAATAGATCTAATAGTGATCTGGGGGCCCACCTTTGTTTGATCTTTGGTCACTACACTACTGAAGAAATAATAGATCTAATAGTGATCTGGGGGCCCACCTTTCTTTGATCTTTAGTCACTACACTACTGAAGAAATAATAGATCTAATAGTGATCTGGGGGCCCACCTTTCTTTGATCTTTAGTCACTACACTACTGAAGAAATAAAAGACCTAATAGTGATCTTGGGGACCCACCACTGTTTTATCTTTAGTCAATACACTACTGAAGAAATAATAGATCTCATAGTGATCTTGGGGACCCACCACTGTTTTATCTGTAGTCAACACACTACTGAAGAAATAATAGATCTCATAGTGATCTTGGGGACCCACCACTGTTTTATCTGTAGTCAATACACTACTGAAGAAATAATAGATCTAATAGTGATCTTGGGGACCCACCACTGTTTTATCTTTAGTCAATACACTACTGAAGAAATAATAGATCTAATAGTGATCTTGGGGACCCACCACTGTTTTATCTTTAGTCAATACACTACTGAAGAAATAATAGATCTAATAGTGATCTTGGGGACCCACCACTGTTTTATCTTTAGTCAATACACTACTGAAGAAATAAAAGATCTAATAGTGATCTTGGAGACCCACCACTGTTTTATCTTTAGTCAATACACTACTGAAAGAACAAAAGATCATAGAGTGATCTGGGGCCCACCATTGTTTTATCTTTAGTCACTACACTACTGAAGAAATAAAAGATCTAATAGTGATCTTGGGGACCCACCATTGTTTCATCTTTAGTCACTACACTACTGAAGAAATAAAAGATCTAATAGTGATCTTGGGGACCCACCATTGTTTCATCTTTAGTCAATACACTACTGAAGAAATAATAGATCTAATAGTGATCTGGGGGCCCACCATTGTTTCATCTTTAGTCAATACACTACTGAAGAAATAATAGATCTAATAGTGATCTGGGGGCCCACCATTGTTTCATCTTTAGTCAATACACTACTGAAGAAATAATAGATCTAATAGTGATCTTGGGGACCCACCATTGTTTCATCTTTAGTCAATACACTACTGAAGAAATAATAGATCTAATAGTGATCTTGGGGACCCACCATTGTTTCATCTTTAGTCACTACACTACTGAAGAAATAATAGATCTGATAGTGATCTGGGGGCCTATTATTGTCAGGTTTTTATTGGTGATTTATCAGTTGTGTGTTTTTCCCATTCTTTTGTCTTCTTTCCTCTTATTTGATCTGAACTATTTGCTATAAAAGACAAAGGAAAACCTAACTTAAATTTTTCTTTCAGTCCTAAAATGGATCAGGTACAAGGGACCAAGAGGATTACATAGAAAAATTGACCATGCAAAACTAGGAACCAACCAAGGAGAACCTACATATAAACTCTGGTAAAGATCCATCAAAACGAGACTAACAAACTTCCAATGTACCAGATGACCTCTGGTCAGTTTGTTTGTTTTTTTTATCATATACTGAAATACATTATTCTTAGACCAATTAAGGAATTTTTGGCTCCCAATGAAATAGATTTTTGCAAGACAGGTTTGCCAACATTTTAACTATGTTTTAAAGAGCCAATAATGCCTTATTTTAAAATTATGTAGTCCAAATATCAAAATTTGGTTTTAAATAAAAAGCATGTGCATGTTTTAAAGTATTCTCAAATCATTTCTCATAGTGTCTGCATTAAATTATTTTTCTAATTGAAGTGAATATTTATCCTGTCAATTTCTACATGTTCAAATCTTAATAGACTAGGTACACAACAAGTGAATGCAACTGCACAAGTTTATCATTGCAGAACTTTCAAGATGGATTTCTGTTATCAGCCATATAGAAAATTCCAAGTTGAAGACAAGAGAATGTATTCATTATAATCTGCTTTAGTACATCTACATACAAATTCATGTATCTCCTCCACTATCACCCACAGATCAGCCAGCAGTATAAAATCTGCACATTACATGGCCAGTTCTAGACTGGTTGATATAGTATCATTATAGCAGAGACTTATGATTTTGTGGTTTTAGCCAAACAAGCATGGCAATTGTTCATTTTTTAACAATGTTTTATCAATCATCAATGAATTTTTTCTCCAAAGTAAATTAAATGACATGTGACATGTTATAATGCATCATGATATAGTTAGGAAATATTTCTAATAATCTAGCTGCAAATCACATGTGACATTTAATAAATGCATAATTGAAGGTGTTTACAGTTGCCATCTGAATGAATAAAATCCAAAATTGGACCATGTGATGCTAGGGACAAAGGGGACCTACATGTTAGTTTATGAAATATCCATCTAGTACTTTTCAAGAGATAGTGATAACAAGAATTGTTCACTGATGGATGGCAGACTTTTGCCACCTAAATCATTTTGGTGCTGATCTATATCAACATCCAAGTTTTAATATGATATAATTAAAATACTGATCATTTGGCTGAAATAAATACCTGGACGGATATAGCTTTTTACTGCAAAGCAACTGTATAAACTGCAATAAATCAGTGAAAGGAAATTTTCCATAAGTTTTAACTTCCTTCTCCTTCCCACCACCAAAAAAATTCAAAATAGCCCTGGAATTCTATACAGTATCAAGGACGTTTGTGCATTGATTTCTGTAAATCAACTTCCATATCTTGTGGGATTTTCCTGAAAATTTGCCATCTTAAAGAGTTTGTAATATAAACAGATACAGTAAAATGTGTATACCTCTTGTTTACACATTTAGGGTGAAACAAGGTCAGTAGTCACAGCATAGTGTCCCCTAGGGCCAACCAACTCATAAATCAACTGAGTTTTCAATGTCATCATTACAACATTCCACATAGATACCAATGTATCATCACACTAGATTAGGTACAACCGATAATCGGTAATGCAACAAATATTGACCAAGTTAAAATATCTACTTCATTTTAGTTATCAAATTAACCTGACAATTAGCTCACCCAGTAATTAACCCACAGTTCATTACATACACCTCTTAACTTTGAACCAGAGGTAATGTAATGGTCCCTTTGTAATTCATAATATCAAACTTATGAAATGGTAGGAGTTAATCTTGAAAATTTTTATATTCAAAGACGATTTCCACTTTCAGGAAGCGTAAAATAGTGCTCCACTGTCTATATAGATCTGTGGGAGATCCTTTGGAATGATATGGCCTCTTACTTTATTTGTTTTTTAATTTGGGTTTGAACCTTTCATTTATTGATAAACAAGTAACCTATCAGGAAAACTTTCTTTATGAAAGCAACTTTAAGAATGGCCCCATGATTTTAATCTTACACAGCCCCATGATTTTAATTTTACACAGGTCAGCTAGTAAAAATCACTTTCTTTGCTTAAATTTTTTTTTACCTTCATAAATAAGCAAAATAAACCTCTAAGACCAATTACAATTATACTGTGAAGCATGTGAATAAAAAACTGAAGTATTTACTACAACTTAAAATGAACTCAATGAAAAAATAAATACTGTAACAACAAAAATGAATATCAGTCAGTGCAGTGAAATCAATATAGATCTACTAGACATTTTACATCATCTACCACTCACTTCCTCTGGAGTAACAATGGCACTATTTATTGTGAGAAAAAGTAACCTTCCCACAGACCATGATCTCTCGGCAGGCTTACAAAACAAAAATGTATCATGACAAGTTAATTAGAAAATTCAAAATTTCATGACAAAGTTTCAGTATCATTACAACTGCATATTCTGAAATCATTTTGACATTTGAAACCACTTTACATGCTTCTGTAAAATGGACAAAGTTTTCTTGAATGTTATCTAATACATATCTCTGATGAGTCGTAATCTTTAAATTCAACTAGTCAAGTTTTGATGTAAACAACATGATACTTACATATCCCAACAACACAGCAGTGTTCTCTCCAGTCATTGCTGTTATTTTTAACCAATAAAACCTAATCTATGGAATATATTTACAAATGTTCAGAAAAAAAATTGTCGTTTGACTATAATCATACATTTAAATGAATTTTTTTTACATGGGTACCCCTAAGCAAAAGACACACTTTCAGACACACCCATATGTATAGCATGATGATGATGATGATGATGATGATGATGATGATGATGATGATGGTGATGATGATCATCATCATCATCATCATCATCATCATCATCCTTAAAGACATCCTGACATCAGGTCAATAGTGGTCATCACTATGACATATCCTGTTTCACTGATTCCATCACATAAAAGTCAAACATACCACAGATTTCACAAACTTACCATGTCCTGCGTGAAGATTGTACTACTGCCCTCGATGTGGATGTTGGTTGGCCCACTGTTAGCTCTGCGATGTCCATTCATGGACTGAGAAGATGCTGAAGGATGAATGTGATGACTGTTGATGTACATCTCATTCTTTAGCTGCAGCTTCTTGATGTGTTTCCTGGTCAGACCTCGCACACCAAACCCAGTCTAAAGGTACAGAGTCACAGACTTTAACAATTTTGACAGAGGAAAAGATTTAAATGCAACGTCTACTCAAAAGAATGGCGGACAAACAGTGGGGCAGACAAGGTAAATTACATATAAATGCCTTTAGAAATATTATGGTGTGATACAGTACTGTAACACAATACTATAGAGGAATACTGACTCCCAATACTGTATGGCCTTCATTGGCTCGATGTAATTTGGATATTTTCCATCCATTTATTTACTGTCATTTTATTTTTGCTCTCTGGTCAGCCAATTGAGCAAGCAGAACAAGGGACAAAAAGAACAGGCAAATGAAATTTGAGAAAAATCAATCCTGTCCTGCAAATGAAATAGTGATAACAAAATTAATCTTTCCAATCAATTATGACCACCTGTCAGCTTCCTTTTCCTGATCAATCCTAAAATTAAACAGTACATGTAAAATGACCTATCCAGTAATTTTCAAGAAATGGTGATAACAAGAAAAGTTAAAGGACAGGCAAAATGATAAAAGATTATGGACGAGCAATTTGAACAGCCCACATCTCATAATGGGCTAAAAAGGACAATTGCAGAAGGTGTTTGAATGTATAAGTTAAACAAGAGGCCCAACAGGCCTGCATTGCTCACCTGTTTGTTAAAAGACATCAAGTTTCAACAACCTGATAAGAATTTAAAACAGGTTACCTTGTGATGTTAAAGGTTTAACAAGGTTGTGCAGTTGAACAAACTTAGAAGCCATATCAGCATTTTATAGGTGAAATTACAATATCTAAGGTTTTCTGATTATTCAGAGTAAGTTGTCATCGATGTTTTCAACCCATTTGACCAGGGAGACATTGAATGCGGGCTGACACAGTCATTCATTAGAACAAGTAATACTGTAATGATTTTGTAAATTGACACTATCAACATAAGATGGGGACTCTGGCTGGATGGCAAATGTGAAAGCATGAACATCGACTTCATAGGTTTCAATTGTTATACTATGGTTTAGGAATTATTTGACATTTTCTGAGGGAACACTGGATGAAGTACAGGGCCAAACCTCACTATGAACAGATATTTACAATGCATCTATTATAATGTGGAGAATAGGGTAGATTGAGAAAATCACCAATATTGGAAGATGAACTCTTTTTGTTAATGAAAACAAGTTCTTTGGAGGTTTTGACCCCAGTGACCTTGAAAGTGGGTTGAGGTCATTTATTTGAACAATCTTGGTAGTACTTTTTCACAGTATACTAGAGGCCCAATATCATTACAATTGGCCTTTCCCTTACTAAGAAAAAGTTGTTTTGATTTTTATTTATATTTGACCAATGTGTCCTTGAAAGTATGTCAAGGTCATTTATTTAATCAAACTTGGTAGACCTCCATCCCAGTATGTTACAGGCCCAATATCTATACCTGTGCCTTTCTGTTACTCAGAGGAAGTTGTTTGAACTGAAAAGCTAATTTTGCATGGATGGACAACAGACGTCTCACCACAACATAAACACTATATTCTTAATTTTTAAAAGCCTTTTCATATAAAATAAGTTTCAACATATATTTATTCTTATATTGCATTTTTGTATTTTGCAAATAAAATCATTCTGTTGACAACACAACACTTGACTAGATTTCCTTGTATCACTGGGTGAATACACAAAATGAAAATAAAAGGGATAAAGTATCCTTAACATATACGAGAGATATTACTGACAATTTGACAAAAAATGATCAAAGGACTCTGTATAAAGAGGGGGATAAGACTGAATTTAGGATCAGGACAATCTACCATCCAAAGAAGCACCAGTACATACATTGTACCAAGGTATGAGAATTAGTAAAATATCAAAGTAGACTTTCTGAAAGACTATACGTGTACCTATCGGTTCTTTATAAGTACCACTGCATCATTATGAAATCAACTTTTTATCACTAAAAACTTACCCTCAAGAGTTTGTCTGTACGGAATGGAAATTCTCGACAAAACTGGCGGATAGAACTGGCTGCGTCAGCATGACCATGCTTACTGCTACTTCTGGTCCTTTTGGCTGAAAATCAAAGGCGTATTCCTTTTAAAACACATTTTCACTGTGAGAAAACACTCCTATGATTAAAACTGATAAAAATAATCATACACAGTTTGGTGAATGTTACCTGTATGTTAGGTATATCTAATATATATTGCCTGTATGTTAAATGAACCTTACCTTTGTATGTTCAGTATTTATTGCCTGAATGTATGGTGTATATAACTGTGTTCATATTTGATGTTACTTACCTGTATGTTCCGTATACCTCACGTGTATGTTTGGTACAGCTTACCTGTATATTAAGTATACATTACTTGAACGTTTGGTGTCCTTACCTGTATGTTTGTATGTTTGGTATACCTTACTTGAATGTTTGGTGTCCTTACCTGTATATTTGGTATACCTTACTTGTATGTTTGGTATACATTACCTGTATGTTTGGTATACATTATCTATATGTTTGGTATACATTACCTGTATGTTTGGTATACATTATCTGTATGTTTGGTATACATTACCTGTATGTTTGGTATACATTATCTGTATGTTTGGTATACATTACCTGTATGTTTGGTGTCCTTACCTGTATGTTTGGTATACCTTACTTGTATGTTTGGTATACATTACTTGAACGTTTGGTGTCCTTACCTGTATGTTTGTTATACCTTACTTGTATGTTTGGTATACCTTACTTGAATGTTTGGTGTCCTTACCTGTATGTTTGGTATACATTACCTGTATGTTTGGTATACATTACCTGTATGTTTGGTATACGTTACCTGTATGTTTGGTATACATTACCTGTATGTTTGGTATACGTTACCTGTATGTTTGGTATACGTTACCTGTATGTTTGGTATACCTTACCTGTATGTTTGGTATACCTTACCTATATGTTTGGTATACGTTATCTGTATGTTTGGTATACGTTACCGGTATGTTTGGTATACATTACCTGTATGTCTGGTATACAAGATGAGGATAGCCAGGGCAGCTCGGTAGAAGACTTTGATACCCTCCAATATGAAGCAGTCTATGATACACACCTAGAACATTAGAGTTGGTATTTAGTTAATACAGCTGTGTGTGGATAGATATCAACTGGACAGATTAATTCAAATGTTTAATCAGACTGACTTTTACTTGTCAACATGGAAAGTTAGAGCTGTCAAAATGTAAACTAAAAACACCAGAATCAATTTCAGATTTCTGCTTACAAGGTAAAGAAAGGATCTTATACATGTATCAAAACAAAGATAAATTTTGTTATACTCACAAGGTAAGGAAATGGAAGGTCTTTAAACATCCACCAGTACCATGAGTCAAACACACCTTCAATACTGTTGCTGTTCCGTACAAGGTTCACATATGCAGATTTCTGATAGGAATAGCAGAAAAAGGAAATCAATTCCTAAAAAAACCACTACCTTCCTGATTTGAAAACAACTCAAGAGTTTTGTCATGAAGTAAAATAATTATTACTAAATACACATATAAACATCAATATCTGCATATTTGTTTGGTTTTCAACTTTAAACTGAAAAGATTTAGTAAATCTATTGTGACGTATAACTTACAATATTAAGTGAATTAATGTAACGACTAAATATCATCTGAATATTTAGAAATGATCCATATCTCTATCCTTCTAACAGTAGTTCCAACTTATCATACTTACGGTATATTTTTTGGCAAGATCTTTGATAACCATCTTTGTAGCTTCAAATGAAACTTTGGTTTGCATAATGAATGTTTCTTTGGATCGTAACAGCCCATAGGCACAGTTGTAGGCATCTGATGGTGTCATGTAATGTAGGAAGACGCTGACTAGACCAAATAATATGGGACAATAGGTAATGTCAGGATTGGTGTGATGCATGACTGCCAGGATTTTGTGTACAGACTCGATACCCGAAGTGTTCAGGTGGTATGATGGCAGATTGTCAAAGTCTACAAAGGATGGCAGAGTTACCTCCCCTGTGTGTCCTCCTAAAAGATGAACAGCAACTATCAGTTTCCAGAATGAGGATTTCTTACTTGATAATTTCATAGGACAGAGTGAAGTCATAAAGGTGGACAGAACAACAGAACTATTTAACATTACTTCAAAATATATCAGTAACATTGAAATAATCACATATATACTATACATGAATTTATACAGATACTCCCAGCATTGATTTATGAGCAGCAGGACATATTATATTACAAACTGGAGTAAATAATCATTCACGCTATGCCATGAGGTATTCATTGAAAATAATCTAACAAATTCTATTTTCTATATCAAAGGGCAGATATCTTTTCTATTTACTCTTTGTACTGTTCATTATACCTACTTTTTCAATGTAAACTATGCATGAAGAATCAGCCATGTGTTTAAAGCTTTAACAGGAAATATAGATAAATCTAATATAAACAGAGATGCCTGGTCAAAGTTCTAACTATGTTGTTGTGTATAAGGATACTTATGATAAATGTGAAGGAGAAATTATTGATGACTTTAATGACCATATTAATGTGAACACTTACGCTGGTTATAAAGTTCGTCCACCATCTCCTCGTAAAAGTTACCGTCAGCCTTGTGGAGGTACTTACAAGCCTGTTGCCATAGTAACCCACGCATTTGGTGATCATGTGACCACAGACTGGTTCGCAAGAATGCTTTAAGATGTTTCAGGTTAAGACTGACCAACAAACTCTTCATGTGATCCTCATTATCTTTTAGATTATTATCTTTCCGTTTTTTCTTCTTTTCTTTTGCCAAACAAGACACAGGGTAGTTCACACTCTCAACATCAACATCAGACACAAAAGGATGATCATAGCCTAACACTTCTTTGTCCTCAATTTTCTTTTCCTCATAACGAGTGACATCTTGATGACCATCCTCTGTATCAGATTCTTGGTCAATCTGGTGGTTGTCCTGCAATAAAATTGATTCTGGTGCTATCACATCTACATCAACATCTTCAGATTTAGGCTCAGTTTCATCGTCTGAAGAATGTTCGTTCAAAATTCCTTCAACACCACTGACTTCAGTAGCACTAACTGCAGACGTTGTAGCTATTTCAGCACATTCTAAAACATGTAAGCCAGTGTGACTTGGAAGTGGATCTCTAAATTTGATTGATGGAATAAGAATAGTTTGTTCATTGTCTGGTTCTTCCACCTGGTAACTGTCTCCCCTTGCCAAATCAAGCAATGTGGTACTGCTTTTCTTCTTCTCCATGTCTTCTTGACTCAAATTATAGCTTAAATGCCCTGTGATCATGCTATCAGATTTGGATTCTTCACAGCCCGCTTTGTCCTTAGAATCTTCTAATGACACCAACAATGATGAAACAATGGTTGGGTCAACCAGAGTGTCATTCAAGCTTTCTTTAGACAGATTTTTAGACAGATTTTCACCGCCACAATCTTTTGGTAAATTTTCATCTGTGCTTCCCTTAGACTGAGTTTCAACTTCTTTAAGCAGATTTTCATCCACAATATTTTTCAACAAAGGTTCATCAATGCTACCCTCTGTCAGATTTTCATTCAGACTTTCTTTGAAATGGTGATCTTGCTGAGTTCCTTCTTTGTCATCTTTGTTATATAAGCTATCCTGACTTACATCATCAACATTGAGAGGCAGATCCAAAGCAGGACTCAAAAGTCTTTCTTTGTTACTCCCTTCATCAGCTTGGATGGGATTTGATACAGCACCAAAAGTAATAGTTTTCTTGTGCTCATCAGATTCTTCGGTTTCTATGTAGTTTGGCTCAATATCATCTGTAGAAGAGGTATTGTTTTCGTCAAATGGCAGCAGTAACACCTTTTCTCCATAACACTCATCTTTGGTATTGTAAACAAACTGTAAGTCTACATCTGTTTCATTGGTGTAATCCTCAGTCAATGGCTTATCTATCAAATCAGTATCTTTGGTGGAATTCAAATTTGTGTTGGATTTCAGAACATGCCCCTCATCAGATTCAGCAAGACATTCTGTTACCGTTTCACCTGATTGTTGAATCTGTGCTTCAACATTATCATTATCCTTTGTCTCCCTGCTGGTATTGCCTGTACTGGGAGGTTCAACAAGTAGGTCTTCACTTCCTACTGCCTGGCCGTCATGATCAGCTACCACAGGCAATGACAGCTCTTCATGACTTATGAGTCCTAATAAATCTGTATTCATTGAGGATTTAACTTTGTATGCTAAACACTTGATAAGCTTGTAAGATTTCAAATACCTAGTCACACTCGGAGTTATAAATGCAGAGATTTATGCAGAATATTAGGTCACAATTGATCTAATAAGACAAATGTCACAAGATATATACCATCAAAGTCGTCTCAGTTACGTGAGATTTATATCTGTCGACATGATGATTTCTTTGATGTTAAATCACTATCCATTCACTTCAAACAAGTTGCACAACATGTCCCTGGAAATGAGTTTGTGTACAAGCAGAGGATAACACCACACTTTCATAGTCAGTACAGACAGCAATTTCTGCAAGAAACAAATGAATACTATTAAACTTCATCTAATGTTCTGTCAACTGGTGGAAATATCTGTATCACATGTTCAAAATATCATGTCTCACAATATAAATAATTACTTATTGAATGGCATCCTTTTAGCAAGCTCACACCTTAAACCAATAATGTTCAAGTTGTTGTTTCTAGTAGATAGGAGTTTTGAAGTTACGACCATTTTGAAGATTAAGTTATGATCAATTTCTAATAACTGGGACCAAAACTTAGGTCTGTCCATCCAAAATAGACAGAGCGGGCAAACAAGATCTAACCAAGCATTGACCGATGAGGGTCGACAGGATCAACTAACATTGATCGTAATGTTAAATGTTCATGATCACATCATAATAAGTGATTATCAGATACATTGCAATATTTTCAAACTGTCTCCATGTTCTGTAATAAATCAATTGTCATTTTCCATACTATATTTTTCAGACTATGAACCTATGTCTGATTATGAACTCAACAAATCATATCACTGCTCAGTAAAATGATAAAACAATCCTATTTCATTGTTGAGTAACAGACCCACCCCTTATCTTTGAGAAGTAATGAGTACTAAAAGAATTTGATCTTGTGACACTATGACTGCGTTAAGGCAAAATTGTTAAGTAAATCATTGGAAATTGCATTACTATGTAGCTATAGGCAGAAAATACATAGTGTTTGTTACATATTTCTCTAATCAAAGTTAACAATACTGAGTCCTTCCTGCACATTTAGCTCAGATTAAATGTTCTGAGTATATAGAGTCTAACAAACTAATATATTGCTCAGACTGAAGTTAACCATATTTTGTTTGAGTTAAAAAGTTACATCACTTCATTCAAGTTACAGTATTTTGTTACACTGCTGAAAGGTTGCAACTGACAAGTTAAATAAGGGAAGCAGAAAATAATATATGGTTATCGATTTGAGCAACATGTTTTATCTTCACCTATTATAATGAAATGTAAAAATGACAAGTCATTCCAGATCATCTAAGACATACCATTATGTCAACATTCAATTTGACATTGAAATGGGGCCTCCTTACCAGTGTCAACCATAATATTTTCCTTTTTTCCAATCTTAAGTATATATTTGTTCACAATATCTTGTTGACTAGTGCCCCCTCCTCCCCACCAGGTACTTTTTATTGCTGGGAAAGAAGGAAAAATGCTTCAGCATTGAATGTAGCAATACTTGACCAAAATTGTTTTAAAATGCATGCATAAATGTTCTTTTATATCAGATAAATGTGTTTTCATACAAATATGACAATAATATGACTAATTTGTGAACAAAGAGTGCACATGTGCTTTAGTAAGGTGCAGATCTCATATCAATTTACTAGCGATCATAAGCTTAACTAGAGATCTACATTGCCTGTTTTATTACATGTCCATAAAGTTTAATAGTGACAGTGGAAAAGGTGTATGTATTTTAGTGAGAAGGTAGTAATTTTTTGCAGATTTTTTCTGTTGAGAATATGTTCTTCTATGTTTCTATGAATGTCTTTTTGGGTGACAAAACTTTCATCCCAAAAATATTGTCTTCTACAGTTATATGTAAAACTATATATGATAGTCATAACTATACATAGTTGGAGCCTGTAAGGATATAAGTTTTAAATACAGGTTTATGACCATTTATCTACACCCAAATTTTTATAACATGCCTGATATCAACCACAATCCAATCTTTCAATGTTCTCACAATAGCTTGATATACATGTAAACCTAAATTCTAATTACGTCTAGAGGTCAATGAAAATTATAAACCTCCTTGCAATACTTACCTCCTCCAACAACGTAAGATGTTCACGGTGAGATATACAGTCAGCATAACAGAGTACAATAATTATTAATACAGATGTCTTATGTGATGCCAAGTATCACATACTGGTTATCAAGCCATGTCAAATTTGTGAGAAATAAGTTAACTTATATATGTGCATATTGACAGTGATATTGACACATGACAGAGATAAATAAGACATTACCAACAAACCCGTGATCACATCCAGATATCTAATTTGGAATGGTGAAATACAATGTGAATTATGTAATGGTTTCACTCCTTTCGTCATGATCATCCGCTCGAAGACAAAAACAGGTAATATTTTCAGGGAATGCATACCCGACACACTATATATGACGAGTTTTAGGACCGTAAAACATTTATATAAGAAAGAAACCTATTGAGATCACCTCAGTACTGTACTATTTTTAATTTGAGATGCATGTTGAGCTAATCTTCGAACAACACATGCAGATATGTTGTTACGTGAAATCTCACATGCACGATAGGGATTAAAGTATAGGGTACATTTTCGTCCGGTATGGTGCTCTTATTCTGTATAAATACATTCACACTGAATCAAAATAATATGATACTATCTTATGCGTTAACATTTCTTTTCATTCGGAGAATCCTACCTACTTACCGCAAAGAGTAGGAGGGTCACAACTTCGAAGCCATGTTTGTTGACAGTCAAAGTCTCGATAAAGTCTCATACAACACGAGAGTTCCTTCAAGCTCGCGGGTTAAGGATCGCCTTCGATGACCTGCTGGAACTCGGTCAAGCGTGCACGTGAAAGCTGAAGAGCCCACTTTCATGAACATATAATACAAGCTGATGATATGTTCTCCATTACTTTAGAGACATATGTTTAATGAACTGAATCAGTGCATGTGTTCACAAAATTTATTGATTGCTGCCACTGGAAATGGAGATCATGACAGGCTTAAAACATCTATCGGATTTCAGTTCGTATCAATAACGGACCGAATTGTACCATTATTTTGGAAGTTACATGTACGTGCCATCTTAAAGGTTGTTGCGTACAAAACGTACCATGAAATAAGACATTTCGTACCATAGGATGATCTATATAGTTGAATAAAATGGGTTCCCGTTTCAGAGTTATTGTTATAAATATTTTTTGTTCTGTAACCCGTTATTGCTATTTTACCGAATTAATCATATCCATTGACTTATTGTTATTCTTGTGCTTGTATGATGAGAGTTTATTTATGTAATCTATACCAATTTTCTAGATTATCAAACGCTTTTCAACATATGATTCAGTATAATGTCAGAAACTGTAGCGCCTTCCTCACATTTTCGTTAAAGGTGTCCTTCTTGTTATAAAATCCTTTCACTCGCTTGGCTCTGTTGTAATTATAATATTACAATAATTTAACAATGTGTGAAAGACTTGCCTTCGTTTGTACTATAATTATAGTAATTATTAAATCATTACACAACACGTGAAACACTTTACCTGTAATTACCTACAACAATATATATATTTGAATCGGATCACTGATCATTACTACATGTTGTACAGAAGAAAATCATCACGTTTCATCAGAAAGCGTTCCCATCATGAAGGTATCCCGCGAACATTAAAGCAACTGCTCGACCACGAGTTGTCTGTGTCTCAATCTCACTTCTGTAACAAAAATGAGACTTACTGATTAAAATGGCATTACACAAGATTAACTGGAGTTAGAAAGGCAAGAGCCGAACAGAGGCATTCGTTTCAAAAAAAAAAAAAAAAAAACTAACAACATCAGTTTGTATTCAAGGGACGCAACTGCAACAATTCTTGCTTCCAAAAATGAGAAGGTTGCTTTCCTTCAGTCCTCCACAGTGGAGGTTGGGTAAGGAACGACAGCTATATCGACTTGGCCCCGATCTGCTGTCAAGCTAATCGCCATACCATCAGTACTGACAGGGTGAAAACGAAGGGCAGTAACTGGGAGATCACAGGGCTTTGGTAGGATCCGACAAAAAGGGAAAAAATATAATAAGATACGGAACAAGCAAATGATATGCACAGAACGGTTTTATCACAAGAATCGAAACCACCAGCCGAATACCGCGTTCCTTGGTAGTTACAATAAATTAAGCTGTATGAAGTCGTTTCAGAGTTTGAATAGCTTTGACCTCTGTAACTTTGATATTTATTTTCTTGAACTTTGCTCGGCCTAATCTTCGGAAGAAGTCATTTGGTGGTTTTCACAATATGGCGCATTGTTCTTTGAGTATGGGTTAATGTTGTTTGCTTTTTGTATAAACAAATTTGTCAGACTTCATTCCAGGAACCTAGTACCGGCAATCAAAGATTCTAGGCTTTTTTGTTTTTTTTTTCTTTTGTTTGTTTTTTGTTTGTTTTTGTTTGTTTGTTTGTTTGTTGTTTTTTTTTTCAGATTGAACCCAGGTACATTGAAAATGGGTAAAGGTAATTTCTTTTCGCTAATGTTATTGAGTTGTATCGCAGGAACTTACTACAACAAAAAAAAAACCATTTGGTAAATCAGAAGCAGCCGTTTTTTTTCCAGAACAAATTGGATACCCGTGATTTTGAATATTAACCAATATCATTTTGTTTTCTCAATATATGTCGTGTTTTAACAGGAACGTGCACCGTATGTGGGATGGCTCGGACTGTAAGTGTTCTATGAGTGCTCATATGTGAGTTTCCTCCCTTTGTTCAGTGGTGTTGCTACCTGTATGCTTTTTTATCTTAAGTGCATTTGCTTATTTTTTTTTTTGTCTTCTTGCTTTGGTTCATAATCTGCTGTCTTATTTTTTTACTATTCATAATCTTGACATTGACAAAATGTTCTCTTTTAATTTGCACTATATTAGTAGCATAGTCTGTCTTTTTATGTTTTGCTGTATTAGCATATATATATATATTACACTTTCATTAAAGTGTTTTACTTCTTTTGCATCAAGAAATACATGTGTATACCTGATATGCAGGTGTTCATTCTTAGCTTCTTATCTGATTACGTAATTTCTGTGATATATAAAATGTGATAACTTCTTTTTGTTTATAATTTGTGTATGAATTGCTATTTTCTGTGATACATATCCTCTGTGATATATATCCTCTGTGATATATATATATTGACTGTAATACATTTCCTCTGCTGCTTGTTGCTAATATTATGTTGCGTGTTATTTTGTTTCGTATTATGTAATGTCGAAGTACAAGCTCACCAGAGCTTATGTTTACTGTTTGTAATATTCGACGTGAAATAAAGTTTCTTGTATCTTGTCAAATGTCTTGGTCTTACTCTCATTAGAAGAAGTGGTGAATTCGACCAAGAAAGATAATCAGATATAGACTGCACCTATCCTGAATTACATCACTGAAGAAGATTCGGTATCTGTAACAGACATTCTGTATTACAACTAGATTCAGCATCTGTAACAGACATTCTGTAACACCACTAGATTCGCTGAGAGAACACCCATCCCAAACTTACAACTAGATTCAGCATCTGTAACAGACATTCTGTAACACCACTAGATTCAGCATCTGTAACAGACATTCTGTATTACAACTAGATTCAGCATCTGTAACAGACATTCTGTATTACAACTAGATTCAGCATCTGCAACAGACATTCTGTATTACAACTAGATTCAGCACCTGCAACAGACATTCTGTAACACAACTATATTCAGCATCTGTAACAGACATTCTGTATTACAACTAGATTCACAACTAGATTCATTATCTGTAACAGTCATTCTGTAACACCACTAGATTCAGCATCTGTAACAGATATTCTGTGTTACAACTAGATTCAGCATCTGTAACAGACATTCTGTATTACAACTAGATTCAGCATCTGTAACAGACATTCTGTATTACAACTAGATTCAGCATCTGTAACAGACAGATTCAGCATCTGTAACAGACATTCCGTATTACAACTAGATTCAGCATCTGTAACAGACATTCTGTATTACAACTAAATTCAGCATCTGTAACAGACATTCTGTAACATATCTAAATTCAGCATCTGTAACAGACATTTTCTTATGTTAAACAGCTATATTTGTATTTAAAATGATTAATTCATAGGATAATTAAACCAAATATCTGGAACCTGAAATGTGTGTCAAATTCAGTGTCCGCATCATCTTTAAAATAAACCGTACTGAATCTTTAATGCGGTTACATATAGATAAATCGGCGGGTGTTAATGCGCATAATCGGTTCTTCATAAACATAATACCACAGACGTATATAACACGTTATATATCGACGAAGCATTAAATGAGGTCAAATTCAATAGCCACGGCATGCATTGTGTGACACACGTGCAATATGATACGTGTGCAAAGTTTCCTGTTGGGATTTATTAGGACGTTGTACTACAAGCAAACTCATCTGTATTGTACCGAATGACCCGGATGTTGTCTTACCTGCAGGAGTGGTGGATAATTTAACTCAACGATCGCCCATCCTAGACAGAACGCTAAAACAGATTTTTGCATTTTCAAGCCAACACAAGTTGGAAATGCTGAGGACAGATACGACATAGATTTTCTTATCTCGTCAATAAGATTTCTGAATAAATGTATCTGTCCACGATTTTATCGCACGCAACAACAGAGCATAGATAATGAAATCTCTTCATTTTCATGCTAAATCAACATTAGAAAGTCCTTTGTTCTTAGTCATATTACTTTCCTTTTTCCTTACCTTGTTCCTCCCCATATTTGTTAGCATCCTCCAGCACGTGGAGGGTCTAAAATCATGTGAAGTATATAGAAATGTTTAAGTAATCTTAATGAACGACGTCTGTGCAGCAGAGTTTATACTTTTATTTATATTTTTTGTCAGACTGTTAGTAAAAAGGAAAGACGTATGGAAAAGTAACTAAATATTGTGTATATATTTTTTGTGGTTTTTCAAACCGACTCTAACCAGGAAGATATTGTCATATACACACTAATACCGTTATAAGTCAACTATTTTGTCGATCTGGACATGCGGATCTAGCGAGATGTACAGGTCATCGGTTTTTAGGTTTCCGTTTTCCTTTTATATTCAATCCACAAGAAAAAACATTTCTGGGTCCTTTAAGAATGTTGTTTGCCTCCACATCATGCTCCCCACAGAAATCCTGAATCCGACCATAGGACGCGATGGATACGTGAGTGGAATGATGCGTGGTGTGGGTCGTCGTTATAAGTTTATTAAAAAAAATCCGCGTTTCGGAGAAAAGCGGAAATTTGCTATCCTATAGTTTCGGTTACGTACATATGTACGCAAGGCGTGCAAGGTAGTGTATAGTATCTGACCAATCAGGAGACTGATTGGCGTGCCACGTGGAGTACTAGGGTACCGACGCGCACGTGAGGGGTATTCATTCTAGCCGCGGACTTCCAAAGCGTTGACTGCTATAGTTTCAGGGTTCAGGTAAAAACGTATACAATGCACTTATATATAGTATAGAATATATAATTTACATATTTTCGCTTTTCAGTAAAGGTATTGAAGAAATATAAAGTGTGAAAGTATATAACGACCGGTAGAAATACCATTGTAGACCATTAAAATGCAGGTGCTTAAAATGAATGAACAATTGAAATCCCAGCATTATTTCGGGAGCCTGAAGCAGTTTGGGCTGGTGCACCTCCTCTCATCCCGTATAACGGTTTTGAGGTTGGGTGGCTCGCTTGGTTCTCCTAAGGCTTGTTATACAATGATAGAATTAGGGTAGCGAGAGGCTAGTGAGTGAGTAAGGGAATGTATATATATATATATATAAAGAGAATATGATATTAAATGCCGGCTCTATCGTGCGCTCGGCTCACATGCATATGGTGGTTGTGTTTTTATGGGAGTAAGGTAGCATAGTAGTATATAAAGGATTACACGCTGGGCACAGGGCTGAGTAAGACCGAAGCGTTCTCTTAGTAGATAGTGTGTCGCCTGCTCTATCGAACAAACATGTCACGCTGTCGAATGGACGCCTCTGATTTTGACCACGGAAGAAAATCATCTGGACCCATGGTGTTTTTGATACTTCATCTGATATTGCGGTTATCTACTGGTATGTAAAATTCTGACCTTCTATAGTAAAATACAAACAAAACTACACCTATTAAATCAAAGTACAATGATTTTAAATGTGAGCCCGTGGGATCCGCTATATCAAATGGCTACATACAGCTAGCTACAGTATTTTTTACCTTCAGCAAATTTATAGTATATATAATTAGTGATAAATGTAGTGCAATGTTATGTGGAAAATCTGTTGTTTGTCTATTGTAGAAACTTAGGTGAATACGTTTTCTGTAGGATGTTTAAGTAGGCATTGTCCTTAAAACACAGAAGGCTACTAACAAGGACTAGTATGACGTACAGTCTGTGTCGTTTCCTATCACTTAAGTTATGTACTCATATCATATCGTATGTGCTTGCACGTTTGTTTACATTTGTATCTGTCGATCTGTCGATCGTTATGGTGTTACGTAAAGTAGGAATATTATAGTTGTGTATTCTCTTCCTCGAGTTCTGATTAAAATGTGTACAACGAAATCTATTTCATCTTAACCAGTAAATTAACCACCGCATGAACTTTTGTATATAGTTTACAAGTCATGCACTAGAATTTCAGTACTCTGAATTGTAAAACATACGTTTCCTTTGCTCAAAGTACGGTGAAGGAGATAACTGAGAACGGACCTAAAGAGCAATGCATTGTAATCACTTGTTTACAATGACTGATCCGGGGGTTCGTTATGCACACACGAGGTGGTAAGTTTACGGAAGTCTAACACTGCAAAGCAAAATCATATGATTTTTGTCCTCTTTTTTATCATCTTATATATGTGACTGAACTTACAATGTATGATTAGAAAAATTTTGCCAAAGGACAAAACCACGATAGCACAGGACGACTAATGATCTCCTTTTCATAGAAAATACACCCTGAATTTATCGAACCATGACCAAATTTACACGTCTGCAGTCGTCGATGAAGCAGAAAACGCTTACCCTTCAGAAACATATTATCTTATTCTCCTTGTGCTATTTGATGAATCATTCTTTCGTTTATATTTTGGCATGGTTTCATTGATCTCAAGTTTGAATTAAGGTTTTAATACATGTTGGTTTTTCCTATTGTTTTTATTGTTTTAGTGATGTAATTGTAGGTAAATTATCCGCCTATTTTTGTTCATCAAACTTGACGTGTATATAATTTTCTTTAAATGGCACCATCGCAAACTAGTATCGGCTTGCCAACTCTTGTAATTACGTCATGATAATGGACTTCTGAGTTTTACCTTAATTGAAATATTAATACATTCTATTGCCAGATACAAACATTTTTATTAAAGTGTCACATATTGGTAAAATCCATGATAAAATACATAAAATGCTATACATTAAAACAATTTAGAAATGCATCAATACCAAGTTAAATATAGCTTATGGTACACTGTCACATTCGGGTTCACATACAGTCAATAAAAAATGAATCAATGATTATTTGGTAGGAAATTTTGTCTTCTTTGGAATATATAAAACAATGTTTTGGCTACATCTTTCAGTAAATTTTCTTCTTTCATGAGGAATAATAATTTATCTTTACTATTTAAAACATTAAAATTTTGTGACTTTGTTTCTGCTGCTTTATAAATTGTCTAAGATCATAATAAACAACACAATCAATAAAAATGTGTGTCATCCTCAACACAGTTTTGATGTACGATATTTAAATTTTCTCTGTTGTAAAGGTATTTTTGACCTGGCCTATCTACTCGTTTCTATGGCTAATTGCAAAGAACCACTTATAAAATTTCGTAAAATTCTTCTTTGAAACCTAATTTGAACATTCTTAACATTGTAACTTGTTTCCATTTTAACTTTATATAAGCGGAGAGTACGCAAATTATTACCATTTTCCAGGTTAATATCATTAAAAATATCACTCCAGTATCCGCTTAATATCACAAAGTTGATCTTGTGCAGAGCGTTGATTGATCCTTATGTCTGCTAATTCAAAGTTATTTATAATATTATCACAATTTCTCCGCCACGAGTTTGTTGTAAGGTCAAAGTACATGAAATATTTTCTATGATGTATTTACTATATTGCCACTTTTCAATGAATTGATATAAAAAGTATACTCAATAAACATTATAATAGCATTTCAACCATATTATCATTGTTCCTTTATCTATATACAAGTGTGTATATATACAATAAGAAAAACAAATACCGATGTATAAAAGAAAATGATTCAAACTCAAAATTATGAAATATCAAAACATCAACAAATAAAAGTTTAACACGGAGACAGTAAAATTAAAATCCTGATACTATCATGTGTTCTTTTGATACTTAGATAAAATCTGCCTTATTAATCTAAGTCAACCAAAAAAAGTCAAATTTTCAAATGGGCACCAGGTTCATTATCCAACCAGTCACATCAAGTATACTTTTTTACCTATTATCGTACAAGGTCATATACCATTTCTTAGTTGGATTATTACGGCGACCATCAAACTCCCCTATAGTCTTCAACATAGTTTCTGGTAAGCATATCCTAAACTATGGTAATTCACTTTGTTCCTTTATTCAATCCCTCCAGAATGAAAGCCCGGAATGAAGAACATAACTATTATCATCCACTCTCTAATATCAAAGAAACCCCGGAGTTCTTCCCTGCTCACTCTGTATGGGGCGAGGGCAACAATTGTATTACCTTTGTTACTGTCAGGTTGTTCAATGTTCCATAAATAGATAAATGAATAAATAGATAAATTCATTAGATAAATAAAATTAATATATATATTAATCAAATACATAAATAAATAAATAAAATAAAATAAATAAATGAAAGCAAATTAAAATGCAGGACTTATTTCGACTTTCGTATATTTAATGCCTATTATGTGGTATTTCTGTGATAATTGTTTGTGAAAATTCCACTGCATTAATCTAGGAATTGATTTGATGCTGTGTTATATACTCTCGTGGTGTTGTAACAGTTTCTCACCAGTTACACTGTTTACACTTCCTACATACATACCATTGTATATGGAAACTATCTGGAAATGTTTGGAATATAGCTGTGGTGTCTAATTAATAAATATGCTCATGTCTCTGCTATGACGGTCTATTAAGAAAATTGTATTGTGCTATTCTATTGGTATGTATATTAATATTTGAATTAGTAGTGATTGATTTAAATATCACATTCATTTTATTATTAATGATGTATTTACCTTCACAGCGTGTGAGGCGCCCCTACCGAAACCTTCATCTGTGGAAGAGTGCGACTGTCATCACAACGGAAGTGACGTCAACATGACGTGCTACTCTGACGTTCAATGCTACAATGCCAGTGATACTGACCACCCGTTCAGCCCCATGTGGGCTGGATACAGCGACAATATATCTCACCATCTGTCAGACGATCCACGATACAAGTCTGTATTGCGCACTAATACACTTGGGTGAGTGAACGAGAGAAACATCAATAAGTACCTTGAAAATGGAACAAATATAATACAAAATATCCCACAAAAGCAAAAACAAATATAGTTGATTTTAATGTTTCTCGCTAAAAGGTGTGAGGTTTGCTTAGATCTAATGATAAACACTCAGGAATTTATACAACCGAAAGAAACTTCTCTCCAATACTGTGTTTGACATGTTTTTTTCCAAATAATTATTACCAACACTTTCGGGTATATTTAACAAAATGTTTTTTTTCTATTAAGTTACTCGTTTTACAATTAACAGAGGTTTTGTAGTGGCGTCCGCCCTTTTCGCCAATGTTTTTTCAATGCCTTGCCATTTTTGCACCCATTTGGCCCCATTGCACCTCTGTTTTACCGTTGTTTTCCCTACATTACGTTGATACCTTATTGTTTTATCTTCTTTGTACCTATTTAACTTTACACTGTACTAATTTCTCCGCTTGGCATTGACACTTTGACGACGTAGCACGGATATAGATATACTGAAAGGATGAAGGAACTCAACTTCTTCAATTTTGAATCATTTTGTACTGAACATACATTGCGGTATAAAAGTAAGAGGAATATCAGAACACTTTACTTAATCCTCAAATTAATGTTCAAAATTCGTCATCCGTGACAAAAAAAAAAAAAATGTCCACATCAGGTGCGCCTAAATTACCAATATTCATTTGTATTCAATTTATGATGATCACCAAGACGCATAATTGCCATTACATTTCAAGGAGAAAGGAGAGCGTCTCGCAGACGATTGTGTTTTGGAGCACAACAAAATAATTAACAGATTTAGTGATTATGAATATTGAGATGCGATCCTGAGGCCTCATGTTGTTCTTTTCATTATAAGGCAAGAAAGGTTAAAACAGTCATATTTAATAAATGTAACACAGAAAGGTGGTAAAACATAAATGTAACACAAGGTAGTAAAACAGGTTGGAACAATAAATGTAACACAGTAAAGGTAGTAAAACAGGTGAGTGGAAAAATAAATGTAACACAGAAAGGTAGTAAAACAGGTGAGTGGAACAATAAATGTAACACAGAAAGGTAGTAAAACAGGTGAGTGGAACAATAAATGTAACACAGAAAGGTAGTAAAACAGGTGAGTGGAACAATAAATGATAACACAGAAAGGTAGTAAAACAGGTGAGTGGACATGTAATAAACAATAAATGTAACACAGTAACACAGGTAGTAAAACAGGTGAGTGGAACAATAAATGTAACACAGAAAGGTAGTAAAACAGGTGAGTGGAACAATAAATGTAACACAGAAAGGTAGTAAAACAGGTGAGTGGAACAATAAATGTAACACAGAAAGGGAACAATAAATGTAAAACAAAACAGGTGAGTGGAACAATAAATGTAACACAGAAAGGTAGTAAAACAGGTGAGTGGAACAATAAATGTAACACAGAAAGGTAGTAAAACAGGTGAGTGGAACAATAAAATGATAACACAGAAAGGTAGTAAAACAGGTGAGTGGAACAATAAATGTAACACAGAAAGGTAGTAAAACAGGTGAGTGGAACAATAAATGTAACACAGAAAGGTAGTAAAACAGGTGAGTGGAACAATAAATGTAACACAGAAAGGTAGTAAAACAGGTGAGTGGAACAATAAATGTAACACAGAAAGGTAGTAAAACAGGTGAGTGGAACAATAAATGATAACACAGAAAGGTAGTAAAACAGGTAAGTGGAACAATAAATGTAACACAAGAAGGTAGTAAAACAGGTGAGTTGAACAATAAATGATAACACAGAAAGGTAGTAAAACAGGTGAGTGGAACAATAAATGTAACACAGAAAGGTAGTAAAACAGGTGAGTGGAACAATAAATGTAACACAGAAAGGTAGTAAAACAGGTGAGTGGAACAATAAATGATAACACAGAAAGGTAGTAAAACAGGTGAGTGGAACAATAAATGATAACACAGAAAGGTAGTAAAACAGATATGTGGAACAATAACTGTAACACAGAAAGGTAGTAAAACAGGTGAGTGGAACAATAAATGATAACACAGAAAGGTAGTAAAACAGGTGAGTGGAACAATAAATGATAACACAGAAAGGTAGTAAAACAGGTGAGTGGAACAATAAATGTAACACAGAAAGGTAGTAAAACAGGTGAGTGGAACAATAAATGTAACACAGAAAGGTAGTAAAACAGGTGAGTGGAACAATAAATGTAACACAGAAAGGTAAAAACAGGTGAGTGGAACAATAAATGTAACACAGTAGTAAAAAGGTAGTGGAACAATAAATGTAACACAGAAAGGTAGGTGAGTGGAACAATAAATGTAACACAGAAAGGTAGTAAAACAGGTGAGTGGAACAATAAATGTAACACAGAAAGGTAGGTGAGTGGAACAATAAATGTAACACAGACAGGTGAGTGGAACAATAAATGATAACACAGAAAGGTAGTAAAACAGGTGAGTGGAACAATAAATGATAACACAGAAAGGTAGTAAAACAAGTGTGTGGAACAATAAATGTAGCACAGAAAGGTAGTAAAACAGGTGTGTGGAACAATAAATGTAACACAGAAAGGTAGTAAAACAGGTGAGTGGAACAATAAATGAACAATAAATGTAACACAGAAAGGTAGTAATACAGGTGAGTGGAACAATAAATGTAACACAGAAAGGTAGTAAAACAGGTGAGTGGAACAATAAATGTAACACAGAAAGGTAGTAAAACAGGTGTGTAACAATAACATGTAACACAGAAAGGTAGTAAAACAGGTGAGTGGAACAATAAATGTAACACAGAAAGGTAGTAAAACAGGTGAGTGGAACAATAAATGTAACACAGGAAGGTAGTAAAACAGGTGAGTGGAACAATAAATGTAACACAGAAAGGTAGTAAAACAGGTGAGTGGAACAATAAATGTAACACAGGAAGGTAGTAAAACAGGTGTGTGGAACAATAAATGTAACATAGAAAGGTAGTAAAACAAGTGTGTGGAACAATAAATGTAACACAGAAAGGTAGTAAAACAGGTGAGTGGAACAATAAATGATAACACAGAAAGGTAGTAAAACAGGTAAGTGGAACAATAAATGTAACACAAGAAGGTAGTAAAACAGGTGAGTGGAACAATAAATGATAACACAGAAAGGTAGTAAAACAGGTGAGTGGAACAATAAATGTAACACAGAAAGGTAGTAAAACAGGTGAGTGGAACAATAAATGTAACACAGAAAGGTAGTAAAACAGGTGAGTGGAACAATAAATGATAACACAGAAAGGTAGTAAAACAGGTGTGTGGAACAATAAATGTAACACAGAAAGGTAGTAAAACAGGTGAGTGGAACAATAAATGATAACACAGAAAGGTAGTAAAACAGGTGAGTGGAACAATAAATGATAACAATAAATGTAACAGAAAGGTAGTAAAACAGGTGAGTGGAAGTAAAACAGGTGAGTGGAACAATAAATGTAACACAGAAAGGTAGTAAAACAGGTGTGTGGAACAATAAATGTAACACAGAAAGGTAGTAAAACAGGTGAGTGGAACAATAAATGTAACACAGAAAGGTAGTAAAACAGGTGAGTGGAACAATAAATGTAACGCAGAAAGGTAGTAAAACAGGTGAGTGGAACAATAAATGTAACACAGAAAGGTAGTAAAACAGGTGAGTGGAACAATAAATGTAACACAGAAAGGTAGTAAAACAGGTGAGTGGAACAATAAATGTAACACAGAAAGGTAGTAAAACAGGTGAGTGGAACAATAAATGTAACACAGGTAGTAAAAAGGTAGTGGTAAAACAGGTGAGTGGAACAATAAATGTAACACAGAAAGGTAGTAAAACAGGTGTGTGGAACAATAAATGTAACACAGAAAGGTAGTAAAACAGGTGTGTGGAACAATAAATGTAACACAGAAAGGTAGTAAAACAGGTGAGTGGAACAATAAATGTAACACAGAAAGGTAGTAAAACAGGTGAGTGGAACAATAAATGTAACACAGAAAGGTAGTAAAACAGGTGAGTGGAACAATAAATGATAACACAGAAAGGTAGTAAAACAGGTGTGTGGAACAATAAATGTAACACAGAAAGGTAGTAAAACAGGTGAGTGGAACAATAAATGTAACACAGAAAGGTAGTAAAACAGGTGAGTGGAACAATAAATGAAAACACAGAAAGGTAGTAAAACAGGTGAGTGGAACAATAAATGATAACACAGAAAGGTAGTAAAACAGGTGAGTGGAACAATAAATGATAACACAGAAAGGTAGTAAAACAGGTGAGTGGAACAATAAATGTAACACAGAAAGGTAGTAAAACAGGTGAGTGGAACAATAAATGTAACACAGAAAGGTAGTAAAACAGGTGAGTGGAACAATAAATGTAACACAGAAAGGTAGTAAAACAGGTGAACAAGTGGAACAATAAATGTGGAACAATAAATGTAACACAGAAAGGTAGTAAAACAGGTGAGTGGAACAATAAATGATAACACAGAAAGGTAGTAAAACAGGTGAGTGGAACAATAAATGATAACACAGAAAGGTAGTAAAACAAGTGGAACAATAAATAGTAACACAAAAGGTAGAGTGGAACAATAAATGTAACACAGAAAGGTAGTAAAACAGGTGAGTGGAACAATAAATAAATAAAACAGGTGAGTGGAACATGTAACACAGAAAGGTAGTAAAACAGGTGATGTGGAACAATAAATGTAACACAGAAAGGTAGTAAAACAGGTGAGTGGAACAATAAATGATAACACAAAAGGTAGTAAATGATAACAGGTGAGTGGAACAATAAATGAAAACACGTAAGGTAGTAAAAAAGGGTGAGTCGAACAATAACACTTAACAACTAAAGTGACAGTAACAGGTCAGTGGAACAATAAATGTAACACAGAAAGGTAGTAAAACAGGTGAGTGGAACAATAAATGTAACACAGAAAGGTAGTAAAACAGGTGAGTGGAACAATAAATGTAACACAGAAAGGTAGTAAAACAGGTGAGTGGAACAATAAATGATAACACAGAAAGGTAGTAAAACAGGTGAGTGGAACAATAAATGATAACACAGAAAGGTAGTAAAACAGGTGAGTGGAACAATAAATGATAACACAGAAAGGTAGTAAAACAGGTGAGTGGAACAATAAATGTAACACAGAAAGGTAGTAAAACAGGTGAGTGGAACAATAAATGTAACACAGAAAGGTAGTAAAACAGGTGAGTGGAACAATAAATGATAACACAGAAAGGTAGTAAAACAGGTGAGTGGAACAATAAATGTAACACAGAAAGGTAGTAAAACAGGTAACACAGAAAGGTAGTGGAACAATAAATGTAACACAGAAAGGTAGTAAAACAGGTGAGTGGAACAATAAATGATAACACAGAAAGGTAGTAAAACAGGTGAGTGGAACAATAAATGATAACACAGAAAGGTAGTAAAACAGGTGAGTGGAACAATAAATGTAACACAGAAAGGTAGTAAAACAGGTGAGTGGAACAATAAATGTAACACAGAAAGGTAGTAAAACAGGTGAGTGGAACAATAAATGTAACACAGAAAGGTAGTAAAACAGGTGAGTGGAACAATAAGGTAGTAAAACAGGTGAGTGGAACAATAAATGTAACACAGAAAGGTAGTAAAACAGGTGAGTGGAACAATAAATGTAACACAGAAAGGTAGTAAAACAGGTGAGTGGAACAATAAATGATAACACAGAAAGGTAGTAAAACAGGTGAGTGGAACAATAAATGTAACACAGAAAGGTAGTAAAACAGGTGAGTGGAACAATAAATGTAACACAGAAAGGTAGTAAAACAGGTGTGTGGAACAATAAATGTAACACAGAAAGGTAGTAAAACAGGTGTGTGGAACAATAAATGTAACACAGAAAGGTAGTAAAACAGGTGTGTGGAACAATAAATGTAACACAGAAAGGTAGTAAAACAGGTGTGTGGAACAATAAATGTAACACAGAAAGGTAGTAAAACAGGTGAGTGGAACAATAAATGTAACACAGGAAGGTAGTAAAACAGGTGTGTGGAACAATAAATGATAACACAGAAAGGTAGTAAAACAGGTGAGTGAAACGGTGGAGGGAGGTAGAGGATGGGAGTGACAAATTTGAGTGGAACAGTTAATAAAGGTAGAGAATAGGATTATATCTAATGAGTGGAACAGGGGATGGGGGATGTTGATGGGAGTGAAACAGTCGAATGGAACAGCCGATGAACGTAGAAAATGGGAACGAAAGAAATTAGTGGAACAGCGGGCGCGGAAATGGAATAGATGGATACAAGAATTGACATACGGAGGTTATTGTCAATTGAACACCGGACACAGGTAGATGTTACGAAGTACTGTTAACGTACATATAGTGAAATGGTTATGGTATTTCAGATCTTTTTGTGCCTATATTATTCTGTTAAAATGGGATTGCGCTAATTATCATTTCTGTATGTTTTTTCTTTAGTAAATATAATGAATGCGCAGATTCATTATTGCACTAATTTACCAGATGGTGATAGTGCGCTAAAATATGATTGTGACAAATTAAGTACTTGTTAAATGTAACTAAATACTTATTTTGTTCGTCTGTTCTGTTTATTTTCATTTATGTCGTAGATAAGCAATCTCAGTTGTAGATTGTGTAGCTGTTTTTATTCACTAATGCAAACCTTTCTGCTTTCGCTTCAGAGATGGTGATTGTAGACGTTATCGAACCATTTGATCCGACTACACTTGTGGTGATATGTCTTGTAATCATCATCATCATTCTTGTTTGTATCCTCTGTGTGATTTGCAACCTACCGTTTCTGAAAGGTTGCCTGCTCAGATGTAGAGGACGGAAAATATTACAAAAAAGAGAAAGTAAGATTGTTTACGGCAAAATAAACCTGTTTGTTTTAGTAAATGCGTGTCTTGAACTTGATTCAGTAGTATGTATAGGTGTAATGGCTATAAAAGTTTTATCCAAAGATAAATTAAAATATACCTCATCAAATATGTGTCTATGATTTCTCTACCAATTTTATTTTCAGATATCTATCTGTTACTAACTTATGACATCCTCTTAACTGCCAGTATAGATAATGGTAGCTTCATGTCTCAACACCCCTATACTAACAGTCTATATAAAGATACTGGTGGACTAAAGTATAGCACCCCCTATACTAACAGTCTATATATAGATACAGGCGGACTAAAGTTTAACACCCCTATACTACCAGTCTATATATAGATACTGGAGACTAAAGTTTAACACCCCCTATACTACCAGTCTATATATAGATACTGGAGGACTAAAGTTTATCACCCCCTATACTAACAGTCTATATATAGATACTGGTGGACTAAGATATAAGACCCACTATACTAACAGTCTATATATAGATACAGGTGGACTAAGGTATAACACCCTCTATACTGACAGTCTATATATAGATACAGGTGAACTAAAGTTTAACACCCCCTATACTAACAGTCTATATATAGATACAGGTGAACTAAAGTTTAACACCCCCTATACTAACAGTCTATATATAGATACTGGTGGACTAAGGTATAACACCCTCTATTCATAGATATGTAATATATATATAGAGAGAACTTCTCTTTAGCTCGATTGGTTGAGCGTCAGACTAGTAAGCCAGGGGTCCCGGGTTCGATTCCTAGCGGAGGCATTTAGATAAAAAATGACCTCTGTTACATTGGCGCCCATGTAGGGACCCGGGAATAGTACTTAGCCATGCCCCACCGGCGTAGCTGTAACCCCTGGAAACTCGAGTACCACCAAACAATATATTTGTATATGTAACCCTGGTAAAATACTAGCCGCAATATACCACTCGGCTAGAGAGAACTTCTCTTTAGCTCGATTGGTTGAGCGACGATTCCTAGCGGAGGCATTTAGATAAAAAATGACCTCTGTTACAGATATATATATAGATCTTGGAGGACTCGCGTATGACACTGCACTGTAAAAACAATATATTTGTATATAGATCTTAGAGGACTCGCGTATGACACTGCACTGTAAAAACAATATATTTGTATATAGATCTTAGAGGACTTGCGTATGACATTCACTGTAAAAACAATATATTTGTATATAGATCTTGGAGGACTCGAGTATGACACTGCACTGCTGTACGATTTGTATGATACTGCTGCTTGCAACATCGCAATCACTCTGCAAAGTCAACTGAAGTCACGCGGCTATGATGTTGCATCTACAGGTCATGTTCTTGGCGGTAAGTTGTTTAATGATGATGTTATTTAGAACAGAATAAATAGTATTTTACTTTGTTTCTCGTCGCCATTGTTCTATTACTGTTGTTTCTGAAACCATGCGGAAGAATATTCTGTAGTGTACATAATTATTCTGTTTTTAGTATTTCTTTGAATACAATATATGAAATCCCCACTTCATTGCTTTTTGAATTGACATCGAGTGATTGCCTATCTTCTATAACCTCTCTGTCTTTTTCTATAAAAGCAAATTCCTCATTCACTTTTAAAGTTAGGATTTTAGGATGTTAACATTAATATTATACATTTAAGGTAGGTTATTTTACTATATATGTATAAAAAAAACCACGTGACTTCAGGATTTAATATTGTTCTTAATCATTTTCTTTTGTGAAGAGTTCTATGAAAAACTAATTTCATATCATACGTTTTCTTTGAACGTCTTCTTGTTTCCATTTATCATTTTATCTCTATTCATCAAATAACTAAAATACACTGATGACATTTCTGCTCAACAAGAAAACAAGAAACTTACGGATAATTAATAAAAAAAGACCCTACTCGTTTATAAGGTTGATATATTATATGTATCGTGTACCCAGCTGCTATTGGCTTCCTGGTATCACAAATTCCAATAGATAAATTTACTTTTTTCGAGATGTTTTAGTTATCATTATTTTCGAGGATAAAATCATCAACGACGACAAGAGCAACGTACATTGTTTTTACTTCTGAGTTTTGATAGTGTCGCAAAAAATTTAATCATCAAAATAACCTTTAATGTAAATATGATTTGTTTTAGGACAGAGCAACCTGAGTATCCTCAATTTAATACCAGTCAGTGCTACTGTGATATTCGTCATCACTCAAGATTCCGAGATTGATCAGTTGTTGTCTGTAGCCAGAGACACTACAACAGCAATGAAAATCTCTAAACAACAGGTTCTCGTACATACAGACTATGTGCCCCCAGAGTTCAAACAGTACAAGCTGTTGACGCTCAGTTGGTTTGAAGATTTGAAGAAGACGACATCTGATGAAAATCGGGAACTTTACAATGTCGTTTATATTCCCGATACAAACGAAACTAACGGAGAATGTATTGTCACTCGAAACAGAAATCCAAATCGTCATCAGGAAAATGTTTGTTTTATCATAAGTGCTTACAGATGGTGGAAACAGAAGAAATTTTACAAGGCGTTACAGTTAGGTTTGTCGGCAGGTTTCCATGTGAAATACATGGACACATCTGTTGAAGTTATCGTTAACCAGGGTACATGTAGCTGATATATGCTGGAATATACAATAACTGTATCAGGAGAGAGTACTGGAACCTTCGCTACTGACTCAGCCAATAAGTTTCAAACGAATTTAGGTCCTGCCTAAATTTAGATGCCACGAAACAGTGAGCCCCAAAGGTTTTAATTCATTATTCAATGATTTAATTCTGCAGGTACTTTGCTTAGTGAAAATGTGTAATTTTAGCATATTCTGATATCTGTTGGAGGATTTAGGTTATGTTTAAGTTAACTTCCGGTTGTTAAATTTTTAAGCCGATTGCAGTACGTAATGGCGTTAACATCCTAAATCATATCACATGTAGCCCGTGTCAGATCTGTTTATATTAATTTACACCTTACGTCGTTCTATTAATGATATTAACTGAAATACTAAGTAAAGCAGTGACTGATTAAATTACGGGAGTCCTTTACTAGTAAACATAAAATACGTAGTACGAATGAGGTGCTAATTGAGATTCGATATTTATTACAAAGATATGGTCAATAAAAATGATCATATTTACATCAATGAAGTGTAAAATTGGACGAAATACTATAATGCTATATATACTTATCCTGATAAATGATTTACACAATACCATGGAAATGGTGTAAAGACGAGCAATGACATGTTGTGGACAGTGCGGTATTGTCATCATATATGAGCATGCTATGTAGGATTTAACAGCAAGGAAATTTGTTTTATATAATTGATGGCAAAACATCAAATTTTCAACAATCAAATCAAGATGAAAAATATCAAATACAATGCTACAAGAAAGTAATTACCAGGATATGATCATGGAAAAGGACAGTTGATATTGTATGCTCTTTATAATGACTACACAAATAGCACACAAGCTAAAGCAGACATTAATGCAAAAGAATTGAATACAGCATAGCCATATGATGAATTTGTATCTTACATCTGTCGTGTTCCTTAGACTTGTGAATGATCCTTGGAGCCTAAATTGTTTTATGTTACTGAGGTCAATCAAAATCTGTCGAAATGATATATAAAGTTAAGTTCCATGATACAATTGATATACAATATATGACTAGTGTCTTTTTTAGTTCCTTTTTCTTATTGTTTTTACAACATTGAACAACTCTTCTGAATTTTTTGAGTTACAAAACTTTTGAAAACACGCAGAAAAACAAATTTATGCATTTCTGATTGTCTGACTAGTTATAAACAAAGCATGAACATATAAGCATCGGAAAAAAGAAATATTTTTTTCGATTTTTAAAGTTTCAGTTTGTATATAACAGATATGTTCATAATAACCGATGTGAGTGATGTATGTAGAGTTGGCCTCTAAAGTAAGCTTAACTTCCACCCCTTATCTCGGTCGACTCCACGGCTTCAACTATATAAACTCTAAACGTCATAGGCAAATCCTCGAAGGCTATACTGCATCTTATTATAAATTTGTGTTGAAGTGGTACAGTTGATCACTTGTGTGTTTTTAAAGAAAACAACACGGCTTGTTTTAGGTAGAATTTTTTTAATGAACTATCGTGCAAAATAAAAAAAATAAGAATGGATAGCTTTGATATGATACACCACAGATGAAATAAATTAGTGTGGCTTTGAGCCTTAACATGTTCAACGCATTTCGATCAAATATGTTACATAAAAACTCCTTTGTAAGAATTCAAATAAATTATATTACATATCTTGTACTACTGTTGTGATCGATTTTGTGATTTCTAACATTTTTTGTCGAACAAGTATTGCTTTAAAAGTATTTGACGGTTCGATGAATATGGTATGACTTCCCAAACCGACAGAGTCAGATATTGAATAGTAATGATATGTCTTCAATGATAATGTCGATTTCAGCAATCTTCAATACATTTTCAACATCTCAAAACACGTGTCTGTTTATATTGTTTCCGAAATGTAATTAACAATCCTTTTAGTTTCCAAATGGTAAAAATTGACAATGATGGTATATTTATAAATTTTACACCCTCATTGGACGTTATCACAGAAATGCTTTAACATGCATAATTGTTTAAGGAACTACTTTGTTCCAGGATTTACATGAATAGTTTAATATACTAATATCACAAATGCATACATAATTGTTGGTAGTCAATAGAATATAAACAAATAATTGTAAGAATTTCGTTTGCAAAAATGAAATATATAGGAAGACAAGGTAATTACTAAGGTTCTCATAATGTAATTAACAATTAAATTGGCACAGCTAAGTTCTAATGTACACATACTTGCATAAATCCTATGGATGATAAACTCTAGAATGTAACTGACAGCATATTAACAGGATTTCACCTTTGGTGTAAATAATTACCGATACTGTTAGTTTGAATAACAAAATTTGTACTCTATAATCCGATCTGTTCTTTATCCCAATCACTGTATAAAAGTTGTAACTAATATTAAAGACGACTTTACTTCCTTGTAAAACATCCTATCGTTTAGGGATTAACAAGTACTTGAACGAAAACAAACCTCATACAAGATGATGTATGGATTAATATTTGGAAATATTTGTAACTCCTACACAAATATAGCATTAATCGATTACATTCACACAACAATTTATCTGACAATAAAATATAAATATAGTAATTTATTTTCTGAGGTTAATGTTTTCTTTAAATTTCTAAGTGTAACGTCGCTGGCATACAGGGGAGATAAGAATAACTCCATATGTATCATAAACATTGAGTGGATGGTTATATAAATTTGGGATGAATTTCACTAATATTTATGCAATATAACTATGTGAACATTTTTGCTCTGATTTTTATAATACATTTTCGCCAAGATTTCTTTTCTATTTTGGACATCCATCATTATAGATTAAAATTGCACCAAATGTGAGTAAACTGTATTTTAAAAACTTGAGAATCCAAAATTATGTAATATCTACATTTCTTTTGTTTAAAGAAAGTTATAATCTAAAGTTTTTTTTTCTTATTTAGAACTTCGTAAGTTTTTCTGTTTACACCAATCGAGAACCAGTCATGTTATATCGGCTTCATACTAAGACAGGAAATGGTTCCGAATGGTACCGACTAACAAACTAAGGTGGGAATTCCCGAATGGTCCCGAGTGGCAAACTATGACGGGAATTCAAGAAATGTTCCTGGTGACAAATGTCATATAATGAGGCAACATGATATCAATGCGCAAATGTGATTTCACTACTTTAAAATGAGTCATAAATGACAGAAACACGAAAACTGAAAAAAATATTACTCCTCTGATGTATTGAACTGACGAAAGACAAAACAAACCAGTTTTGATCATTCAAAAGTAACAAAAGTACATTTTCTTATCATTCTTTTGGTATTTATTAAAGAAGTGATTATGAGAATATATTTAACATTAATATTATTTAACTTTAGGTATTATATGATAAATCTAGTATACTATGCTTATAATAAATTGCTATTTTATTCAAGATGTTGTTTGATTTTGTCATTACAAAAATGTTATTAATACTTCATTTAATTATAAGATGAAATATTTTGAATCTTATTAGTTTGATTACAGGATCGGTAGTGTTGTTGTAAATTGTATAGCTAGGACGCTGAATAAATTGTCATCTTAATTGATAGAACTGGTTTCCTATAAGTATTGATGAGAGCAAATACTATATTAAAATCGTCATCAATTTGGTACTTCTTTAGCCCCAAGGAATCGGGACTAGTGTTGTGAAACGTCCACAAGTTAACAGAAAAATATCGATAATCAGTACATCACTTTAAAGAAGGGATACCTTTCAATTTGCAGCAGGAAGATATCTTTCTAACGTTTCTATAAGATTTTTACATAGATGTTACGATGTATCTACTCAACGAATTTGCTAGTTTTTCTTTTTTTATTTTTGTTTTCTTTTAGTATATTTTTTTTAGTTTCTTGAAATAAGATAGCCAATCGCCATTGCTGGATGACGAGATTTGAAATGTAAAAACCATCATGAATGTAATTTATAAAACGTGAATCTTATGTAGATTGCTATGAAAAATATTACGTTCTTTATTTAGATAGGTTTATAATTAAATATTAAGTGGTATCGAAATATTACTATAAATGAAACATGTTGTCCTTCAATATGCAATATTCACGTTTTAATGTAATAGGAATAAATACTAGTGAAATATTATATACTATATATTGCTTATTGTGCTAACGATACGATTGATTACCATCATGTTGAAGCGAATATCAAGTCACCACGCTATTATTCAAAACTTCATTTACGCTTCATTCATGATTATTTTGGTGTTTTACAAATTGCTTTTGAAAAAAATGTCAGCATCCTGCTTCCTTTCATATTTTGTATGCATATAGATTAATCATTCATACATTTCTCTATAATAGAGAGTTGATATGATTGGCAAACTAATCGCTTCACATCATGTGTATTCTAGGACATGAAGGTGGAAAATGAACTGAAACTATGCGCCGTTTAAGTATTCCAAAGTCAGATATACAATGATGATATTAAAATAAAGTGAATACCATAAATGAATTGAAAAATTATTTAGAACCTTATTCGTTTCCTCCTGTAAACCACGACTAAGTTATTTAGCACTGAATGAGTCTAACCGTCTCAACCTTGGTAAGACTAGATGATATCTATTGCTAATGTTCACATCAGTTTTTGTTTCAACGTCTTCTTGAAGTTTGTGTTGAGCCGTCGATTGTACATTTTCCTGCTCGACCGCTGTCCTCTATTTCATTTTCGTCATCAAAATAGAGCTCCTCTTCCTCATCGTCTTCCTCATCGTCATCTTCAAACTGCATATCTGGATTGGCTTGCGTAGCTAACATTCGGAGATGATCTTGGAAGGCTGCAAGATCAGAGGCAAGATGAGACGGAGGTCCCTCGTCATCATTATATTCCTCCTCATCTTCCTCCTCCTGCTCCTCGAATTCCTCTTTTATTGCATTTGCAACATCCGCTTCCGGTTGTTGATGTTCGTTTTCGTCACCGGTCGCCCCAAGTCCAGCAAGTGCTAACCCTGGAGGTAGGGCCAGGATAGAAAGGTCAGGAGGAGGAAGCACTCCTCCCCGTCGACGCCCTCCGACAGCCAGGGCATCCTCGTCCTTCTTATCGCCCCCTTCCTCCACCACATCCTCGTCATCCAAAAGCATTGATTGCAGGGTTTTACCTTTGATCAACGCTGCCTTCCTCCTGGCACGAACCTTGCTTAGGTTTGCAAGGACATCATCTGTAAAAAGGACAAACATTGAACTGTATGAACACAAAATCACACCAACAAACAGACACCTGTCTAACCTGGAATTGAGTAGAACCTTGTAGAATCTTTGTTTTTATTCACTTCAAATGAAGAAACAATAAATAATAATCACTGATTTGTACTGATATACTCCAATGTTTATCTTTATGCCTTATTTTTCCCATTTAATGTTACCCACAATTTCCTTATTGAAATATTATAGAATATACAACACACTCAATCAAGTGTATAAATCACGTTCTTTGTATGACTTATTTATACTGCTGAACCGATGTACTTACCGTAGTGTTCATAACTAGCATCTTTCTCTATCTCAGATAATATATCAATACATATAGTTTACTCTAATATGCGAGTTACGTCTCACGATTACACTAACATTGCTCTTATGAGTGTAATTAAGTATACTTTAATTGAAAAGAAGCAACGCAAGAGGTGTTGATCTGGTGTAGAAATGTGTAGTACTCTCACTTATAGCATATCTTCTGTATACTAACCTTCAAATTGCAACCTTTTCTTCGACCAGACTTACATTTGAACTAAGTAATTATTTGTAACCGTCTAAAACATTTGAAATAAAAGTTATAAACTATTATAGAATTGTGCTATGTCTCGATGAATATAGTAACAATATCAATTATCTTGTTAAACACATTCGACTTTTCACTTTGACACAATACAAACGACACTACACATGTTATGTGGTTAGTTCTCGGGGTTTGGTCCGGTGAACAACTATGTTACTACATACAGAGTGATGCACAATCATGGACGGTTAGTAAAAACGCTTAATGCAAAACATAATGACAATCTTAAGAGGAATTAAAATATAACATGCATTACAATTTAAGACGTTGGTTCTTGATAAAATTATTTTTGTGTTACGTTGGGAACATGAATATTAAAATATCTATGGCAACTAATTCCTCGTAGATGTATCATTATTGTCATGGTATATTACAAAGTTAGGAAAGATAAAATAAAACACCAATTTGTAATGCATAATTGTTCTTAAACACATGTGGATTGAACGATCATGATATAGGATTCATCTGACACCCCTGAAAATAAAGTTTGTTATCAGAAAGAGTCATCTCCCTTACTCTCTGGATGTTTGTGATATATCGACATGCATGAGGCGTTATATTCAAATAGCACGCTAAAGACAACATTTATAAACAAAATAAGTATTTCAACAAGACGTAAGTGTAAACTATGTTATGTAGCATTACGTCATCACATTTCGGGCAAACGACACGTCACCACAATATGGACACAAGGCACGTCATTACATTTGTGGTGCACATTTTACTTACGTCCCCCTCATCTTAAAGCCCTGAGCATCAAGATGATTATTTGTTTCCATATTAGAGATGATGTCGGGTTTTGTTGCGTTTATTCTAGCTCGTAATTCATATAAATCGACTGAAACACAATAATTGGATACAGAACGTTCAGGATTTTAAAACAAACTTTGATTTATATTAAACTACACTGTCAGATCAAACTGGATCGTTCTGCTCGTGTATTCGTCCATTTCAGAAAAAAAAGTGTATCTGAAATTTTATAACAAATGCAATATGGATAAATGTAAGTTTTGATTTTACTTAAAGCAAACAATTTATTTTGCAAGTTATTTCTCCAATAATGCATCTAAAGTGCAAAGAAATCAATTTACCAAGCTTTGATAAAGTTAATAACTGATGAAAGCATTTTGTGGTGATTGGCACTAAAAGCAATTTCATGTGTTCTAAATCAAACGTATTTGATCACTCGTATGTGGTTGAAGTGGAAGGATCCTATGCTAGTTCACAATAAAACCGTCATATGCACAGCTTTCAAAAAAAAAAACAAATGCTCCAGATCTGTCATGATTAAAGATAATATATAAACAGTGATTGTGTCCTAATTTGTGGTATAACTATCTGTCTAGTTTCTCAACCTTTCCAACCATCATAAAAGGCAGTGATTCTAAACATCTAAAACTCGTAGGTGAGCTATACCAGCACTGTTTATAGGCAATACGTGAAACGACCGGATATGACGTAAAGCAATATGGCGTACACTATATATTATGAATACAAAGCATAACGGTTACATCTTCTACTTAAAATTTGTCTGATCTTTGTCATATTCTGTTTTAAACGTGTTCAAATGCATTTTTCAATAGAAACGTTATATTTATGTCTTAGATGACGTCATTAGAGACACTTCAATAGTGCAGAATTTCCTTTTACTTAAACATAGTCATTAGACCTGGAAAAGTCAGGTTTAAACCTTTAAGTTTTCGAACGTAATGTTCTAGAGATAAAGTAATAATGGCAATTTGATTGAACGTTATTTTTCTTTTCTTCACGAAAATGCAATTTTACTGTAAAAATATCAGAATTCTATAACCCTGCAGTCAACAGTTAGTTTTGCAAAATATTGAAAAGCGCAACTGGTCATGCATGCAAATAACATATTTAATCTCTGATTATCATATGTTAATAATGGATGGTCAAGGGGCAGGGTTGCAAGGAAATCTGGGTAATGTTTAACAGGATTAAGTAAAATGTAGTAACCCTATACCTCCATCTGAAAATTACGTCTAAGGTCAACTGTAAAAGAAAAGACATTATTATTGTTGATCATGTGACACTTTCATACTTACTTCAGAAAGTACAGGCCTGGGTTGATCGCGATTAATAACATATATATGAAATGACATATTTTCCATAACCTCTATAATATCACACTTTTGAAAAGTCCATAATACCTAATGCCTATCAAATCTCAGGACATACACAAAAACATCGAATTTACTAATTGGCAGAATCACAGAATCTTGAAAAGCGATAATAGGCGTTTTTTTCTGTGTTGAATCATACCACACTAAAATATACATTTTCACAGCTTAAGAATTTGCAGTAGTGTCCCATGCTAACTAAAAAGGAAATTATGTGAATATATTGACTTTCTTTATATTAACATGATAATTATTTACATTATATTCGGTCTGGTCGTACCATATGTAAACCTATCTATTATAACGTCATGTTTTACAATGCTGTGTACAAGGGACCTACAATTCACAAAGAACATGGGATTTTTCTTTATAATTATCTTTTTCTTACGTGACAATTCATGTAAGATAAATTAAACTAAATTATTGTAAAATGTGTTACAAGATTTCTCACTGGTGTGACCAGACAAAAATCACTTCTCACGTGGATATATTGTTTACTGTTAAGATAGAGATTCAACAAACGAATTTCTATAAGTGCAGTTCTACTACCATATTCTCTACAGACACCAGCCGAAGTCATATACTTCTAGACTAAGACACCGACCTAAGTAACTTCGGACATGTATTGAACGTTACGGAAGCCACAAGGTTATGTAATAGGAAAACATGTATTGATAAATTTGGAAAAGAGACGATAGTTTAAAGACAGGTCACATGGTAAGATAAACCCACGATCGACAGCGTTGTTAAAAATATCCCAGATGTGTTAATGTTTCTACTTTGAAAACCCATATTCATATCTTTGGTTTACCTTCTATACAACCACAAAGCAAACCAGAAATTAAAAAAGAATTGATATAAAAAAAATTCGATATTTTTTTGCCGCCAGAATGATGCCCGATTTAAATCAAAAGTTCTCGTATACCGAAAGAAGATTAAAAAATGAAGTTAAAAACCAGCACCTGCATTGGTCATTTTTGTTTTTGTTATTTTTATTTATTTATTTATTTTTTTATTTTTTGTTGTTCCTTTTTGTGTTACCCCTAATGAACGATGATCTTTCAAGCGAAAAGTACACTTTAAATTATGTGTTTTTGTTTATCGTTCGCCTCTTCTTGATATTGATGGTTGAAACTTAAACGTCACACTGATCTTTTTAATATATTTCCGAGTAGGTTGTATGAAGGGTAAGCCATGGTTATACGTGAACGTACAGTATGTGGTATTCATTTCCACCAGACTAAATTGATCACTACTTTCTACACACAAACTCCACAGCTGTGAAACATAGGAGATAGAGAAGGGGAAGATGTGGAAAATGAACATAAAAAAATGTCATACTTATTCGGTCTAGAATACGAATGATAATGAATGCAAACATTTTGGTTATTAATATAAGAACAAATTCATATGTGTAAAATAAAACATTATCAAGTTAAAATAAGAATATCAAAAATCGACGCCGTCTCGATTAGTATAACAAATAACAATGATGTAAAATAGAAATATCAAGGTAAAGCAAATATTTGTATACAAAAAAGCAACATGTGATACTTCGTCACTATGATCAGGAAGTTATTATTCTTGTGAATAAATGCCCCTTCACCAAAAACAATAACAAGCACAAACTCTATAATTTGATCATAATTTGCTTTAACAGAGAAAATTCGTTGTCGGTGAAAGAGGCTATGAATACGTAGAATTTTATATAATATACAAAGTATTATATTATTACAAACAATTATATAATGTGAAAACATAAGATTGAAATACTGATACTTTTGTTTAGCAACTGTATATGTAAGGAATCTTGTAATACGGTTAGGTTAATCACAAACTTCTACAGCACATTGAATTTGAGTAAATATATGAACATACAGCTGTATTATTGACATGGACAATGAATAAATGGAAAAACAAACAAACCGCAGCGCAACATCTATCACCTATAACCACTACGTTCTTTTATATTGGATGTAAGTAGGATGTTGGTAAGTACAATTAAACATAGTATGTACGAGTCTGAACTTATCAATAGATAATAATAACATAGAAAATATCGACATCGTATGTTGCGCTGCACACACACAAAAAAAAAATGAAAGTTCATTTATTCCGCTTAGTTTTCAGTTCTAATATTCACACAGTATGTACATTCATACACATTTGGACACAAAAACGAAGGCATTATCGGCACCCAACCACCATAAGCATAACTCCTACACGATATGTATCGAGCAATTTTGTTCAAGATAAAGTGATGTAACCTTCTCCGTGCTAGAGTGTATATAAACTTAAAATAGGGTTCATGTAAAACTTTACCTCGCTTCTTCTCGCGCGGCTGCACGAGATATGCTGGATCCACGTGTTCTTTGCACATATCACATTCTTTGGTTTCTAGCGTCTGTGTGTCAGAGGGTGTAAGCCATTCCCCAATGAAGGAAGGTTCCTCACAGCGTGGACAGTGCATCAGTCTCTCGACCAAGACCCCTGTAACGACAGTAAAAACGTTGGATATGTAAACAAATATACTCAGTGCTATGGAACAAAATATGGAATCAGCGTAACTTAAGATTGCTGAAAAGTAGTTGATTAATTCGACTGCTTTTGTTTTTTATCCTTGTCATGACAGATACTTCTTCACCAATCTTTTTCTACAAAAATCAAACAGAACAACTTTTTACCAAGCTCTGTGATAAGTGTGATGATTTTAATTTCCTTTTTGTAAATTTTCCATTTCTTGATAGCAACATTTCCAACCTATGATGTTTACTTTTAGCAATTGATTTGATATTCAAGGGTGTGTTCTCAGTATCATTCAGAACATCAGGCAAACTGTCGTAAAATGACAAATTCACAACATTCACAAATATCCTCTCACCTAATGCGACATGAAGGTTGCCTGTTTGATGATCTTTGGTAGACCTAGACGTTTCATTGTTGTTTACCGTGCCGTGTCCACATATGGGAATTTTAAATCTCTTACTTAGATTGACCAAGATTTACATGGCAAATGTTGATGTAGTTTTTTGAATAGTCAACATCAAAGGATTTGGTAAAAGTAGATTTTCTTTCAGTTCATGTTTTACCTTTTCATCTATTTAGATATAAATTAAAATTCTGTTGACACACCAGTACTTTCGAGCTGGTTATGTAACCAGCATGCGAATTTTTCGACAAGAATACTCAATTAAACCGAAATCATATTAAATTCATTTGCGAGGACAAACAAAATAAGCTATTTACCGTGATAGGTTTTGATGACTTCCTCGAACTCCATCAGTAGTGGAAGTAACACGGTCCACATGTTGGAGGGCGGTGTGTCCTCATACGCGTCCTCCTTAGTGTTATCACGAACCTCAAACTTAAGGTTGGTTCCTCGTCCTTTACTGCTCTGACAGTAGCTTATTTTAACTAACACTATCTCCTCCATGTGTTCGGCGAGCACTCCTCCTCCCCAGTGAGCAAGATATTTTAGATTGTTCTTTTTCTTCTTCTGGCAACGAACACTTATGATTTCAAACAAACCTGGTGGCATGTATTTTGGAAAATGCAAAAGAGCTACTAACTTTTTCCTGTTTTTGATTTTTTCCCATTTTTCCTGACAATCATTAGACTCATCAACTTTTCTGAGCCATGGCATGAGTATTTTGGTCACTTGGACGTTGCCGTCGTCGTCCGGATCCACATACAATCTATATGTGTTGTCCTTTCGTCGTTGTATGGGGTAACCAACTTGGAACGCATCAATGAGTAATGTTTCCACGATCCCAAACGGACTGTCGTCATCTATCGGTAACAAGTGTCCAAGGATTCCTCTTAACATCTCGGATTCCATGATACCTTCTTCCAGCAGCATTTTCTTGTAGCGTTCAAAGCGGTTGGTGCTAAACCCGATGGCTTTGAATGAATCATTCGTGTCGTAGTTTAGTACAGTCTTCTGGTCGTGTCTATACACATGGCGGAGAAGTTCAAATAGCCAGGATGGTCTGAGGAACACATACTCGGAAAGGACAGGGTTATTGGCAAACCACATAACTCTGCCGGTTTCGTGGAGGTAGGTCGTTATATCCTTCATCATCCTCTTCATGCCAAATTTGTCGGTAATTTCATCAAAGAAATCATCGTATTTCATGATGGGTACGATCATGGTGTTGCCCTTTTCTTCAATATAATTTTGAACCTCAACCCAAAACGTTGGAACTACAGTCATAACATCTGGGAAAAGTTTCTTGTTGTTGGCTAGTTCATCTAGAGCAGTTCGAAGCTGATCATATCCAACGTAATCCTTTGCACTCGTCACAATGAGGTCAGTTTGGATCTGTAGTGTTTCCGTACAAGATAGTAACCTTTTGAGGGCGATCAGCTGATCAGAGTGAGTCGCCTTGATTTCGGGGATAGCGTCTATCTTTGCTATCCGTCGTTTGATTAGGTTCTCATGGTGTTGTCTGAAAGTGTCTAATCTGGCTTTAACGTCGAATGTTATCTGCTTCAGACGTGTCTCTGATACAAGATCACTATGTGTTCCTACTAAAAGTACTACCAGCCTGTTGGTTTTTGCTATCATCCAATCGAACCAAGATCCAATCATCTCGTCGAACTTGCTGGACGAGTATTGCTTCATATTAAAAGTCAATATTGCAATGGAAGGTTGCTCAAGAAACATATAATGAGGATATAAATAAAATGGATCACCACAAAAATCCCAAATGCTGAATTGCAAATACTTTCCCTGCTCTGCTTTATGATCTTCATAGTCTATGCGCATATCATACGCCTCAACACCTGCGTTGATTTCATTTGCATTGTCCACCAGTCGACCTTGCTGATCAACAAGTGACTGCACCAGGCTCGTTTTACCGCTCTTTGTTGAACCTAACACAACCACCTTTACACCTCTATACACCGTGGCATTTATGCGCGCCTCATGCATATACTGCAGTATCGAACGCATCCCCGTGACATCTGGGGGAGGAAATGTAAGAGGATTGTCGTCCACGAACAAATCTTGGTCAGGATTTCTTTCTAGTTGTTTCATGGCGTTCATATCAAGCTTTTTTATTTTATTTTTACTCAGATCAAGTTTCATTGACATTTGTAGCAGATGACCTGGAAAATTGGTGATATCGTTTTCCGACAAGTCCACTTCTGATACCCAATGTTTATTGTGAACTCTGACGTTGAAGGAAGAAACTTTGGTGATTTTGTTGTGACTAGCATTCAAAGCATCTAGATTTGGCAACATGAACACGTCTGTAGGTAAAACGACAATTTTGTTGCTGGACAAATCCATGTCCTTCAAACTTTTGAGCTGACGCACATCTGTCCCTATTTCACGGAGGTTGTTATGGCTACAGCGGAACACCTCCAGCTTTCTCATATGGCTAATGTCCTTGAACACCCCTGAGAGTTTGTTGTGGTCGACGACCAATATTTGAACACGTCGTGCTTTTTCTAGACCTTTCAATGATTCGATATTATTGTAACTCAAATCGAGTCTAGACAAACACTTTAATTTCTTCAATGACGCCGGCACTTTCGTCAGCCGGTTATCGGTGAGGTTGAGTTCAACAAGATTTCCTAGCAATTTCATAGAATCGGGAAGGCCTCCATCAGGAATACTATTATGACTTAAGTCCAACTTTTCTAAGTTAACTAATTTGTCTACTAAGTGATCAGGTATGGATTTTAAGTTAAGACTTGGAATCATCAACCTTTTTATAGTCTCAGCAAGGTTTTGAACATTGTCTATCGTTTCTTTCTCCAAGTCGAAAAGCCGAAGAGACACTGCTTTTTCGCGTTGTTTTGTAGGTAGGCGCTCCGGATGCATATGCCGGGCACCTTGAAATCCCATATGCGACATTGGTCTTGTTATAACAAGCACCGGCTCTATTAAAGACTTTGTGCGTTTTGGTTTTCTGTGAGTATATACTGCTGTGGTAGCCCCACTAAACCTCTGCTTCCTATGCATTTTCATTGGTGCACTTATATTGTGGCCTCACCTCCGAATCGTTGAGAGTTACCTCCCCTCGAACCTTTCGGCGATCTAATATTATCTTTGTTTTAGCATCCTGCAATGAAATGAAATAAAAACTGTCATCAGCTATCAAAATTCTCTTTGAATTGGACAACAGATAATGGAAGCATGTTATCACAGGATCTTTTCAGAAAAAAAAAATGAAATTAACAAAAGAAGAGAAAGTGTTAGATGTTCTAAGACATGCAACAATAACGATGTAAGTAAGGAGCATTCAGGTATGGCATGACGTAACAAATAAAAATCGTAAATGGTGAAAACATCCGTATTGTTTTATTGTAAGCAATTAAGCCTTTACGTGGTTTTATTTGATAGGTTTAACCGGCCGTTAGGCGACCTAAGTCAAAATACATAGGTTATCATGGATAAAACGTCAAGGCAAAACCGAAGAGATAACATTAAGTAAGTTAAAAAAAACCAGTATAACTTGTATTTCGTTTGATAAAAATAAATAAAGTAAAAAACAAATGATTATTAAGTAATACGATTGTGTAAACTATGTAAAACATTATATTAGATATTTAATCCCTTCTAATTATATCCTTTCAGTATATCGCGGGGAACAAGTAGAAACCTTACTCCGAATTCTTGTTCACATGCAGTGTGTCTGAATAAAAAAAATAAAGGCTTCTAAAAGTACTTCCACTGCTTAAAAAACAACAATCTTAATCAAAATGAGCATTACCTTATACATTTGAATGACATAATTCTTATGAATTACATTAAAAACTATTAGGACTGACTCTAATGTGGATTCCACATTTACAGGACATATATGCCAGATGCAAACACGATTGAAGTAGGCCTGCAATCTATTATCCTAATGTAACTTAAACCACAACACTACTTGTGTGAAGGACTTTGATTTCTCATATTCGTCAAACACGATAACTATATCCAAAGATATGCTATTGTGAATATATCCCCTACAACGTGAAGGCATTCATAATGCATATTCGAAACTGTGACGATTTTTACAATGGTTGACATTGAGCCACAAATTTAGAGTTAAAATGAGTACTTTTAATAGCTCATTGAGGTTGGGGATATGTATTAACTATTTCCGGTAAGTTATAACATTACGGAGAAATCACCAAAACTGCTTCAACGTTAGCAATATATACCAAACAATAGCTTACAACCACTGACCGCGGTACTCGTATACTGAATTACAGAGTCCCTAATATTATTATAGTGAATTTTCGTCAGAGCAGAAAATCAACTTTACATCGAATATTCTTAATATAGTATAAAAACTTGAAAAACAATTCAATTAATAAATATTTATGATTACTTTACTGTTCTCAAATTCCAGAGCAATAGAACAAAACATTTTTTTTTCTCAATTTTGAATGATTAAACAGAATTTTAAATGCCTGCGTTTATTCAATTGGTCACAGAACACTAGCTATTGGCCAGATGTACACTGCCAATGACAGACAAACAGTCTGATCAGGGACGATAACGACCAATACAGTTCACATTGATTCGGGTTTCATTCAGTGTAACTTGATATGTATTAAAAGTCAAAACAATAACAGGTTAATGATGGGAAAATTGCCTAATGCCGACAGCCTGCATATCCTTTAATGGGTATGTATGAGTCAGAATATATGTCGGCATGTACGTCCGCCTTAACTACACCCACATAAAGACATAATTTTACAATATGCATATTATATTTGTTTTAATCCATACATAACACATCTTTAGATAAGCGTCCATTGTAAATCCTATTTTATAAGGAGACTGTTATTCCTAACTGATGTTTTAAGTTTATTATTGTGTAGTGGTTATCACGTGTAAATGGATAAAATGGTTAATTTCAGTAAAGATGATTTTCGATGCCATCGTGTTTGATAATTAGACTTCCTTTAAAGTGCCTCAATGACAACCAATTGTATAATTCCATATTCCTGGAAGAAGAAAGGCTTTAAATACCCAAACTCTTATAAACAAACAGGACATATCCTGGTCGCATGATCTCAAACATGCTACATAATTCCTATTAGGAATATTTTGTCATTTCAAGACATTGTCAGAGAGATATTGTGTGATTTTTCATACATTTAACTTGACAGGAATATTCATATCAATGTCAGAATAGGCAAATATTTTACGATTAATGAATTTAATATTCCATAAAATGGCTTTAATGGTTATAACACAAATATCCTACCTTATGTCATCATGAGAACTTAAGAGTCCTGCTTGACACACCTGCCACGCACCGTCTAGTAGCCAGGTGATCTACCTACAGGTAACATACTCTAAACCTGCTAACGCGCACCGGTCTTAAAGTTTATGTATTGGGTTTTGTCGTGATTACAAAGATTATCATGTATTTGATTTATTTTAAATACTCTATTGGATCAAGTAAACAAGAACGGGTTTAAAAGAATGGCAAGAGTTTGTAGTAGCGATAACCTGGCGGCCTGAAATGTTATCGGATTGGATTAATGGTGGATAAGGTATAGAAGTTTTCGTTTCGGATTAATTTATTTTAAAGAAACAATGTCCGTAGGAAACAAATTGCCTTCAATGAAATGTTGAAAAGTAAACCGTTTAATGTAGGTCTGTAAACGTATAACCCGATAATACGGTACAAGGAAATGATGAGTCCTTCAAAGATATCTAGTTGATAAATATTAATGTCAAAGATTTATGGAGCTGTAAGACGTTCCGCTATTTCTATTATGAATATGAATATTAAAATGTCCAAAACAATGAAGAAAACTGTCATGTCAAGTTCCTGGATTAAATTCCGGCTAAGCATATCAGAGCTCACTAGGTCAGGGGGTTCTTAATGCTGATTAAGGTCAAGGAAATTCAAAAAGTAAAAATATTATTGTTCTTTTGTGATTTTATATTATATTATAAAACCAATATTGACAACAATAGACAACTGGGTTTTCCTTTATCATAATATGATATCTGGAAATGAAGCGTTATATCCAGATTTACCATCCACAGATAACGATGTTTTGTTTGTTTCTCTTTAGACTCTGAAATAAACACGCGTGTCATATTTGAAAGAAGCATCGTCACTCCAAAGTTTGTCATGAACGAAAGCAGCTATCTAACATGGAATCATAATGGGCTGTATCGTTTTTCATGATATACCTCAAGCACATCAATAGCGATAGATTCATGTAACCACTCCCTAACTACTTCTGTATTCTTTATACTCTGTTTAGCACCGAGAGATCAATAATTCATTGATATTTCCCAAGCTTACCTTCATTTTGTCGTTTGATTCAAAAGGCAATCAGTAAAATATTGGTAAATGTCAAGAGTTTCTGCGTCCACAATGTAAAAATGCTGAAATCCTTTATGTTAAGTAGTTAACGAGTTCTTACGAAGCACTAGCTGAAACCTGATGAGGATTTTTTTCTGACCCGGGAATCCAAATATATCACTTGTCTATGTTCAGCAGTCAATGTTGTTGTATCTAAAGGTACCACCAGGTCTTAAAAAAACTACACTAAAACGGCCTTTCTTGGTCGGAAGTTACTTTTGATATCACACACACTACCATCGATTTTTATCTGAAAGTAAATTCCTCGAGCACACTAACACACGGTCAATAAATCCTTTCTAAGGAAATCAGCAATATATTAGACCTGTATACAAAGAGCAAATATGTTTTCTTAATTAGAGCGAGTGAAAAGTTGTTAAGTAGCCACTGTGATAATTGCTCTGGAAAAGTTTTCGAAATCGTTTCCTGGACTCTTTCTTGTTCAGAGTAACGGAAGCCGGAAATGCCTGTAATTTCCGTACTTTGTTAGAGCAATTTTCCGAAAAAGAATGTATAACTTATGTTCCTGTGACAAACGCTGGATACATATATCTACCAGAACATCACACTGTTCCTAAAAAGTCAATATTATCTCCTTTACAGTTCATTTGATGTCTTCTAAAGATTCACAAATCGAAGTATCGTCCACGAACCACTTTTAAATCCCAACATCAGTTCCAATGTAAAGGGCTCTCTTCTTCAATGTTTCTCCTCTTCTTGAATCCAAGACACACAAAACTCGCATCAGCATCGGTCGGTTCATTGACAAAGTTTTTATATGAATATTGATTGACGTTCGATAAAATGTGATTTAAGGCTTGTCTGATAGCCTCAGCTCCTAGGAGAATGGTATGATTACATTCTTGAAGCCTGCCTCGAAATGGGAGTGTAAATCCTTTCCCGATGGTTTGTATATTTGTCTTTGACTGTAGAAAATCAATATTTGTACACCAGGTGATATGTATACCGATAGACTGTTTACTATACACCGCTATAGTGTTCACTATAGGGGAAGCGTTTGTCTGACACGGATCACAAACGTCCATTCACCCAAGTCACAAAGAAAATCATTTTTACATAACAACGCCAAACAGTGTGTCTATTTACTCATCTCAGACAGTAACAGTCTGTTTTACCTGTTGGCATTTAAACTTGTTAATTTGTTTTCTCTTATCATGTAATGATCTTTTACTTCAACAACATAATCCACTGATCATTCTGAAACTGTCGTGTCAGTCCAATCTCATTTTCGTTTTTAAAGCAAACAAACCAATTTCTATAGAATGGTAATGAAAAAGCTATGTTTGTTGATATGATCTAATGTTCTGAGCCAATCTTCAACATGATATAATGTTCATCGTTATACTTATTGATTCTCATTGGTGAATTCGATTATACAATGCATAAAAGTAATATGCGATTTTGTCTTTATTTTAGATTTCAGCTGTTTTAGGCTTTTGCTGTGAAAAGAATAAACCAAATGATATGATTAAACCCTTATCAGCGATTATTTAAATACATGTAAGAATAAACTTTCATAAAGGTACCTGTAACGAATAATTATTAAAGACAAATTAACAGATGAAATATAAAGATTAACTATGATTTTTTTCAGCCAATGAACAGAGAAATCCATACAATT